AAGCATGGCTGTTTGCTGTCATGTGGCTGTCAGGGTCACAAAGCTCAATCATCACATCATTTCTGGTAACCTCTGATTCTTTGTCTTTGTAGTGTCCTTCCCTTGTTCCTTGTTACTATGAACAAACAAAACCTTATTTTTAGCTTCTGATCCAAATTTATGAAGACAACGTTTTTCAGTATTAGCCAGCAATATAAAAAGGAGATCAAGGACATGTGCGTCTTTCAAAAGATGCATTACGAAAGAACATTTTTCACATTTTCTACTCAAAGAGGGTTATGGAGGCTCCATCTGCATTCGCCCGCAGCACTGGCTATTCTGGGCTAGCAAAAATAACCAGGTAAACATGCTCTGGGCTTAGGGCTATGTAAAAATCATAACAAGAAAATGTGTGTTGTCTTTTTTATTACACCAGACTGTAAATTAGGAGTGGGCTCACCGAGTGCTCACCGGTGGGAGGGTCCTGACTCAAAAGGGTCCATGAGCACGTGACATGCCTGTAATCTGAATTCTTGCCTGTGGTGGCGTACCTGGAAACAGAATTGTCCAATGAATTCCTATGGCGCTTTTTTTCCTCTCAAAAACGGTTTTACAGCCTGGTCCAAAAGTCAGTTATTTACTCAATGCTGTTTCAGATGTGTGTCAATTATTTTTGTACCAGCCTTGTTTGGTGGCTGTGGACTTCTGAATGCGTTCATTAAATGAATGCCATGTGTCAGGCTCTTGTACCGGCTAACGCATCGGCACCATGGATCTATAATATTAACTGGATAGGGTATTCCTAGCTTAAAGCTGTCCCACCTACGGGCACAGGGGGCGCCCGTGGTACTGCAGACTAAATTCACACGGGCTACCCAAAAAAAAGTCCCATAGAACTCAATGTAAATTAAAACAGCACGACCTCAGCTGACAGAAAACCTACAGCTTTCATAAATATCGGATTTTGTGGGGATTTTAGTGTCCCTTGTCATCCTGAACTTTTTTTCTTCTTAAATCCTTGGGTTTTCTTTAAATCCACACTTTACTGCCACAAACTCTGCTCCCTGCCTTCCCGCTCTGGCTCCACTCTGCTGCTGCCCACTATCCCGTGGGAGGGGAAACTTGCAGCCATTTTGAAAAACTCGGCAGGAAGGAAAAGTGATCACACACAAGTTTCAACAGCGGGGATAGGCGTCACCACGTCCGTTAATGATGACTGTCTATGGTGCTGGCGTCATGGTGGCACAGCGTTTCACAGAACGATGGTCCTGGGTTTGATTCTACCTCCACACGCCTTTCTGTGTAGAGTTTGCATGTACTTTCCAGGACTGCATGGGTTTCCTCTGTATGCTCCAGTTTCCCCTACCTCTAAAAACATGTACAAATAGAAACTTCTCATCACCGTGTGTGGAGTGAATAAAAAAAATATCTCGGTACTCCAAAGTTTTAAGTGCTTTGGATAATGTTGGTTTGTGAAAATGTACTCCAATAAATAGTACTTACTAACATGTATAGGAGGATCTTTGTTTACACCCGCGTGCGCATGCGCCCCTCGCTGTGTGGCAAGAAGACAGAGCGGCACATACTGAAGCATGGATGCGACGTGTACTTTTAAAAGACTGTATATGAGCACTTTTAACGCAAGAAGATCAGAGGAGATATAAAGACAAGCTAAAAATAATAAATAAAAATAAGTAAATGAGACCGAACTGAACAAATTCAAAGCCCATGTGAGACCTAGGATGATGACAAACATTGCTCAGACTCACTTCTGTCTTGGCACCGATCTGCTGGGACTGGGACTCGGAGACATTTATTCTTACTTCATAGAAAATCCGAGACCCTTCACTCAAGAAGGGTTTGTGGTGTTTTTCACCGCGGTTAAGTGGCCCGGCATTTTGCCGTCTAAGTAAAGTGGTCCGTACATTTAAAGCGGGTTTCCCCTGTTTGGTGTTACTTACGGTAAAGGTGGAACAGGAAGCTGTGGGGATGTGAACACAATGCCAAAGTGCAATGTTTAAAATTAATCATCATTCATTCATTCATGAATGAATGAGTGAACAAGTGCGCAGTGAAAGTAGTTGCTAAACATAGATTTGTTTATGAATTTTTATCCCCTCATCCCCCCCGGCTTCCCGTTCTTCGTTTACCATAGGTAACAGCATAAAAGGAGCACTTTAACAGCACTTTAACAGCACTTTACTGCGGCCGTTTTTCGCTGTTCTTTTCCGAAAGAATTAGAAAAAAAACGTAATCTGTCCCCAGCAGGCCATACAACCGACCACACAACAAGAATGGACCACTTGATTTATTAAAACCTCTCTCCAAACGTCTAAAAATAGCTAACTCTCTAGCATCCAGGTAGCTTTCTATGCTGTAATGCCACACGGTCACGTGACCGGCGCGGAAAAACTATAAACAACAACGTCACTCCAAGATCCTCCTATAGTGACAGCCTTACTGCAGAAGAGGCTGTTTGAGCGGGAATGTGGAAACAAATGTAGGCAAATTCTGTTGGTAGCAACGGCCAGCAATCTATCCCCACTCCCACTAATCACTCACTAAAGCCAAATTCGGCTTTAGCTCCATTGGTCAGTTGTTATGGAACACATACTGTATTTACAACGACGATATCAGAATTTAAACACCAGGATCATGGAGTGTTCTGAAGCATGGATTTTTTACTTTTCAACGTTAATAGGGCAAGTAGGAGCAAAGCAAGCTTCTATTTTCTCTATTTCATTGAGCTTGTCCACAACATAAAAGCACATTCAAGTATACTGATTTCCACATCGAGCAAAATAATCAAATATTTATGGTGGAAATTTCAAATAATAAATAAATAAAAGTTGGTTTGACATATAATCAAACATCTGTCTGTCTCTCCACTGGGCAAGCCTTCTTTCCTAAATCTTTATTTAATCACAAGAAAGTCCCATTTAAAGATGAAAGTGATCCCACAGAGAGGCAGAACAATGAGTTTTCAGAGGCCGACTTCATACTTTTATTTGCATGGGGTGTTTGGTCCATAAAATCATGAAGGATTACCAGCATTTATCAGCATTACAGCACTAAACTATACAGGAAGTTTCAGCGTTTTGTTAAAAAAAAAATTAGCTTGCCATATGTCTTGGCCATTTATTTGATTTTTCCAATTCAACTTTTCATCAACTCCTCATGCGGTGCCAGTTTATCAAAAAGGAAAAAAAAAAAGGTAAGTAGTGTATGATACTAAATTGATAAAATATAAAACTGCTAATGGTCGCTTCCAAATTGCCAGCAGTGGTCCTGGCTCAGTGGGAGAGTATTGATTTTGCAGCTTCTCTCATTTGGTGAGCTGACAGGAAGCAAATACATACAGCTGAGGTAAATGACGGCCATACGTTTGGTTTCAGTGATTGTGCACTTTGCTGTTTAACTGCAATTACAATGCTGCTCCAATCAGTCGCTCATTTGGTATAAAGCAAATTTGTTTAGACTTTCTGATGTGCCAGGTTTTCTTGTGTTTGCTCTTAGTGTGAATGCTCCCAAAACTTTTATGATTATTTTTTCTCTTCATAACCAAGCAAAAAAGAATGATTGGATTCTAGGTCCATCAGTTTAATAAGCTTCATCTTTGACATATTTTTGACAACTTTTTTTTATTGCTACATTCTTACAAGATCTTGCTCTGCCTCAGCTTTACTTTTGTCAATACAACTTAATAGCTTTTTAAATCCCTATCGGCTTTGATAAATAAAGTCATAAATGATGCCGCACTCAAAGCAACAGACTGAGATTGCTTCTGGGACCATGCAGAACAATATCTTCAGTGTAACCTTTTGAGAAATTGATTACAAATATTGGTCTGTGTATTGTGTTTTGCAATAATATTTTCAGAAGTTTAAAATAGATACTATCATGGGTTTGTCTGTGTCTTAAGAGGATCATATGTAGAATGTGCTAGAATTACAACAAAAAACCATGAGTTCCCAGTGGCTTTATGGAGCTCAGGGCTGGTCTATCTTTAGTGATATAGTGCTTTTTCACTTAAAGACCCTGGAAGAAACCTACACAGACAGGAGAATAAGCCAAAAACCTCAAGCTACGAGTGGAACCCAGGACTTTCTGCGTGGCAAGAGCACTAACATAATGGTTCTTTTGCTGCTGTTGAGTTTAGGTAAGTAAGTAAGTAAGTAATCTTATTTATATAGTGCCTTTCTCAGACCAGAGTCACAAAGCGCTTAATTGTTATTTTGGGCATTTGTCTCTCACTCCACACAGATATGGGAGCGAGGTAGAAATCAAACGCACTTAAAAATAATTCCGTTGTATTACATTTATATAAATTGGCAGGGTATGGATAGGGGTCATGCCTAACAGTCAAAAAGGTCAATCCCAGGGCTATGTTTCTCCCTGGGTCTTTCCTCCAGGTGCTCCGGTTTCCCCCATCCCCCAGAACATGGATACACCAATATGAATGTGGTGTATTATGGCAATGGAGAGACTTGACAACACTGTGAAAGCACAAGTGCAAGGTGTACTGTTGTTTGTAAAAATGCCAATGCCCCTCTAGTGGTAGAAGTGGGGAATTACATGCTGAGATCATTTATCTCCTATGTACATTTTTACCATATATTTTCAACTTAAAACATTATTTGGCATTTTAAAACTTTGAATGAAAAAAATTAATAGTCTAAGACAAAATAAATGCATAATATGTTTTCTTTATTGCATTCCAAGTAGCTAAAGAATCTTAATATTAAAACCAAACAGTGCATATTTTTAACAGGATATTTAGGGGGTTTCTGTCACTGGTACGTCTGCTACATGCAGGAAGTAAAGGCTGCATTCATAACTTTTAAAATAACCTTGAAATTGTTTTTTTCTTGTTGCATTTTGTGGTTTAGAGTCTCACTTCACAGCGCACTAAATGTAGCGTGAGTATGTTACTTTCTGTATTTCCTCAATTCAACTGTTCTGCCCCGAAGGAGGAAGCCTGTTTCAAAATGCACAGGCCACAAAACTATATGTCAGCGACGATGAAGGAGGCGAGTGGCCGGTTAGTGTGTATTTATTGTGTTTTGAAGTTTTGGATTTCACAGATTGCTGTGAGAGATCAATGTAATTAAGTATTTTGGGGTTGAAATGGCTGGTTCCAAGTCTGCTTGCTTTAATCAATTTGTTACTACTTTGCAAAAGGTTAAAAAAAATAGGTTAATAATTACTTACAGTCTTTGACATCTTGATTGTAAAATAAGATTGCCGGACATAATATCTTATTTTTGTCTTGCACTGTTAGCATTAATGGCTTTTTTCAAGTAAAACAAGACATCTGATGGTTCCATTGGCTCATATCAAGATACAATTTACTTTCTTCAAGTTCTATATTCTTGCAGTGTATGCCCTTTTTAAACTTTTCTAATTACTACAAACTACCAAAACAAATGTTGTTTCAAATTATGTTACAAATTGAAGCGATGATGTGAACTACCCATGACATTAGTATTGTAAATTGAAAGTGCCACTTTTGCCTGACTTGTTTTTGTATATTTGTGGAATATCACAGTTTTTTCAGTTTGTGAAGCTAATGCATAATATATTTTTGTTTGCAGACATAAAGACAAGGAGAGAAGGAGTCGACTCAGCCTTTTCCTCACCAAGTCCGGCTCTCATGAAAATGTCAGTCCTCATAAGAAAACCACTACAGCATCCAGAAAGTAAGACCTTTGTTTTTTGCAAAGATCTGTTTTTTAATATTGAACAGATGACGACTTTGTTCAGACAGAAGCTGACCTATCTCTTTATTCTCTAGCATCTCAGCAGAAGCCGTGTCGAAATGGAGCAACAGCTTTGAAGACGTTATGAAGGACTCAGGTTAGTGTCTCCCAGCATATTCTTCTCACAATCATTTCTTTGTACTTTTTTACTTTACAAATAAGATAAATTATGCTAAAAATGTCCCCGGGTTTCACTTCGTGTTTTGATGTTTGCTGTTGACGAGTGGGTGAAAAAGAAACTGGCCCACTTCCTCTTGTCTGAGAGTTACTTTGCAACACTCTCAGATTTGTCCTCATTTAAGAATAATAGACTGATTTATGTGAAGATATAGCCATGAAAGATCCAACTTTTATGTAATCATAGATATATAAGTAAATTGATAAATCACAAGCAAAAACTGCATGCAGTTCAATCATAAATTAATAATTTTTGCTAAGCTAAGCGCCTATTACTGTAGTTTTCTGTATATTTATCCAATCCCAACTAACTTTCTTTGTATTGCACATTTTAGGGGTCAAAAATTTACTCTCTATAAAAACTGTTGAATTCAATTTGTAAAGTTAGAGGAGCTATACCTGTTTCTGCAAGGTTTGAATGTTTAGCACCGCCGCCCAACTCGCTCACAGGCTTCTCATTTCCTCTACGCTCTCATTCCACGGAGCCATCTAGTTTTATTTGCGATCTGATACATATGCTAATATTAGCATGAGCGCAACTCCTTGTAAGCTGTACAACAATCACTGATGAAATGGTACAAAATCAACGCACTGCTAACAAAATATATAACTGAAAGATCACTGCTAGTTTCGCGTCTGAATGTAGTCCGAGTCGCTCCCGCACCCGCAGGTCTCTCCCATAGACTGTAAGTCTCTCCAGAGGATACGATGTAAGCTAGCTATGTTCACCCGGGCTTGAGTTCTTTGATCATTTTTTCGCTTTAGTTCCCTCTTCTCTTCCTCACATGCATCGTTTGGACTGTTTTGCTGTGTATGCAGTAAGAGCAAGAGGAGTTATTGTCGCTCCTCATTCTGTGATTGGAGGAGAACGAGCGTCACGCCAAGTCTCTACTCAGCACTTTTTACGGCCTGAATTCATACACAAGCTGAATCAATGAGCTCAAGTTTTCAATTAAATTACGGATTATAATACAACTTGTAGTAGTAAGCATTTTTATGAACTCATTAAAAAAAATCGGGTATGGCTTCTTTAAGCTACAGTAAGCGACTTACCTCTAATAAGGAAAAATGAAAGTAATTTTATTGTTGCAATTTCAACTTACTTGACTTTATATATTAAATACATAACTTTATTTCTTAAAAAGTATGTACTGTAGGTGACAGTCCATGAAGTGCTGAGGGTGAGAGTTATGGTAAACGATTGCAAACAGGGTGTCAGTGAGGTAGGGGAAAAAGTCTGTGTGAAGTTTTTCTACAGCTTACATTCTCTAAATCTTTTGTATTTCTTGTCCACATTTTGAAACCGTGTCTGTCTTTCTGCTCCAGATGGAGTGGAAATCTTCTCCCAGTTCCTCAGGTCTGAGTTCAGCGAGGAAAACATGGAGTTCTGGTTGGCCTGTGAGGATTTCAAAACTATTGACTCGGACACAAAGCTTCTCTCCAAAGCCAAATATATCTACACAGTTTTCATTGAGTCAGACGCTCCGAAAGAGGTTAAAAGATTTTATTAAGAAGCTAAAGCATTGTGTTTATTATTTTTGTTTGCACTTGAGTTGCTGAAATTCCCATTGATCGTTATGTTGAGATTCAGCCGCTTGACCTTTGAAGACATACCTCACAAAATTGTAATCAGTTTTCAAGGGGGCTGTTTTGGTCGAGGTGACAAAATAAACACTCAATTCAGTTAATATTATGCCCATCCATCTGTTTTCTTTCCCTTTGTCCATTTTTGGGTGCAATGCTCTACCAACTGAGCCACTTTTACCCCAGTTTGTTTGAGTTTCACATGTTTCTGGGCAGTTTGTCCTTAAGGTGTGTTACTGGTTGTGATAGGAATAGTTTTAGAAGCAGAGAGAGATGGTGTTGTGTTCATGCGACATCAGAACATTCCAAAGAGCCCAGTTTAATATTGTGGTTGAGGGCAGCTGTTTTTTATTTATTTTTGTAACTACGGTAACTGTCAACATTCTTCAGATTTCTAAAGCCGATTTTCCACCAGCCCTAACTTGGCCCTACTCTACTCTACACGACTTGACTCAACCGGTTGCGTTTCCATTACACTTCAGAATGAGGTCAGCGAGGTACTGAGAGTAGAGCAGGACTAAATGGTGCTTTGGTTTAGAGCTAAATGATCTGTACATTTCTGGGCCAATCCACATGAGCCAAAAACTGTCACATAGTTCCACATCTTCTTTGTCAGTACTGGCTTTGGTCTAATTAATTTCTCATAAATGTGACTAGAGGTTCAGGCAATATAGAAAAAACGATGGTTCAGACAAGAATATTATAATAATAAAAATCTAAGCACTGTTAAATAATGGAATACATTAGAATGACAATAGAAGGGAATAGGTGTTTATTTTTATTTATTTTTTCATAATTAATTACCTCTGTTCTACTTCAGGTCAACATCGACTATGGCACCAAAATGGCCATTGAGCAGAGCATCGCTAAGCCCACAAAGAGCTGCTTTGACGCTGCACAGAAGAAAGTGTTCAGCCTGATGCAGAAGGACTCGTACCCCAGATTCCTGCACTCTGACATGTATGTGCATCTGACGCAGAGGGGGGTCCGCGGGGCTCCCATGTTCCGCCGGAGGTCACGGTCCTGTGTGTTCAATGAGAGAGGTGAAGCCACATCTGAACCCTCGGCCTGGTAGAAGTGTCTATGGAAAAGATCGCCTCAGGATCTTATGGATTAACTCAGTATTTGCAAACATAGGCCCCAGGAAACGTGCCAAAAAGCAAAGACACCAGAAATGGAATTGAGAGGGGGGTGGCTCAATCTTTTGGTAGAAATAAATGCAGCTCTGTGTTTTCCTTTAAGCTCTTGGGAAAGTGAGTCATTCTAAAAACAAAAACAATACCATGAATACATGTATGTTTTACTGCTGCACTTGAGCCATGTTTGTAAAATATATGTATAAATAATCAATACCTATCGCATTATGAATTTTACAGAATGAGGCTTTTTCCAGATGAATTATCTTAACAATCTTTAGGCATTTGAATAAGTAAACTTATTCAAATTATAATTATTTATTTCCTTTTGCAAGTGTGTAATCATATATAAACCAGAAAAAGAACAGGTATAGACATGAGAACGGTTATAATGCAGTTTGCATTTTAACAAAGCCCCTTGGGGGAAACATGGAAAGAAAATCACATCGATATAACGAGTAAAGTAAAAATATGCATTTACAAATTTACAATAGTTGTAGTCATATGACATTTCATATATTTGTAATTTCTAGATTTCAGAGATTTCCTTGGAATGAGGTGGTGGGCTACTGGTTGGAAACCCTTACGTTGCAATAATAGTGCACTTGTTAACATGGATGAAGGACATGTGCAGTACTTCTTGTAGTAATAAAATCAATGTAACCATGCACTGTGTTCTGTCTAAGTGATATATCTACTGTCGCTACTCAAAATCATTCTGATTCATTCATTCAGACTGGATCACTCAAGCTAAATGAGACAAATTATAAATCACTGAAGAAGTAAATCCAGGAAGAAGGAATATACTATTTATGCTCAGCCTACGTCAAATGCAAATAAAGAAGTACAGTAGGAAACATACAGAGATCATTCTCCCTTTGGATAAATCTATATGCTCACATTATTCTGGACCAAATGCATCACTGTTTGCATTAATCAAGGCCCCAAGCTCCAAAACTAAAGCCATGAGCATGGGGTGTTTTGTAAAACAGTAGTTTAAAATGTTGGCAGAATTTAAAACAATTCTTTTTTGCTGATCTACAATTGTAAATCTGCAAGTCCTAGTGACACATGCTGGCACAGGCCTCAAAAGTGCCTGAAGCACTCATATGCATGCAAAGGTGCAGCACGTCCTAGTTTCTGGACCATCTCCCCAATAATTCGGTCACAGAACGATTATGAAACTCAACCATCAAAATGATTTAATGCATTAAGATCATAAATAATCACGGTACATTCAAAAGAGTGACGAGCCTACCCAAGGAAATACTATAAAAAGCACACCCCAGTCATTGGTTCAAAGGGTGCATTAACCAATGTCTATAAATGTTCATAAATATCCTGAATCATCAACTGCTAGAAACATTGGGGAGGCCCACAGTGAGAGAGGCATGTATTCCCTCAGAGGCCGGGACCAGAGAGTGAAATATGAGGCTTTCAGAACCACTGAAAGCCTCAAAAGCAACATTTTTGGGGGGTTTGGGGGGGACCCCATTTTCCTACACTGTTGTTGGGCCAGTGCCGCGTGAGAAGATGGACCTGTGAGTGTGGCCCACCAAATGTTATGTTATATAACATAAAGTGTTTACTGTGCCGTTTATTCACTTGTTTGCTTGCACTGTAAAGTATATGTCTGTGTGGGCACGTAGCAAACTAATACATTTGAAAAGTTGCCCCAAAATTAATGACGAGACAGGGAAATTGAAGACAAGTTGCATAGTATTATTGTGCAACATACCATAAATGTGGGTACTATCTCAAGACGAATAAAGACTGTTGCCATAAGTAATTAACAAAATCAAAGGTATTAACAAAAGTAAATATTATATTTTAAAAAGGAGAGCAGTCCTCAAAGTGATTTGAAGAAATGTTATTGAATAGCCACGTTTGTGAAAGCCTTTGATTTTTACATCATTAAAAAAGGTTCAAGCTTTTACAGACCTCAGAGACCAAGGGTGCCATCTGCTGTTTAATGAATTAACTGCAGCATATTAAAACATGCCAAGTCACAATGAAAACACGTTGTGTTTCCATTCACTAAATTGACTCCTAGAAGCTCTTCCAAGCAGAGAATGGACTACAGAGTGGCGCACAGATACATGACTTATGCTGGCAGGCTTCAACTTGGCCGGCAGCGCCTCCTTTGAAAAACAAATCCTTCATTGTGGTGTGTCCGTGCATGCAAAAGGGCAAGCCTGGGTGTTTTCCATCACATGTTGTGATTTACATCCTTGGCCTGGTTTATGAACGTAGACACAAATGATAAGATTATTTCATTTTTAAATAGATAAAAGACTTGCAAAAGTATCCCATGAATTCATGATCTGGGACCTTCTTTCATTGCAGTAACTGAAATGAAAGCCTATCAATATCATCATCATTGTTATTATTCTTATCAATAATATTATTATCATTGTTATTTTATGTTTCAAGTCTTTATTTTTAGAGAAATTGTCCTGATGCCCCGCCAATATTAATATAATATTGGCGGGGCGACAGTAGCTCAGTTGGTAGAGCATTGGCCTTTAGGCCTGAAGGTCGTGGGTTCAATTCCCACCTTGATACCTTCTCCACTGACTCCTACTGATGTCTGCTGTCGTTGTGTCCTTGGGCAAGACACTTAACCCCACTTTGCCCAAAAGCCCCCGCTGAGAGATCATGGCTATGCTCACACTCAGAGAGCAGCCGTCCTCCTGTGGACTCACCACCTGCAGAGGGTCAGTGAGGGGCTGGTGCTATGAGACTTGGGTGGCATCTCTGACTGCCACCCCCCTGACCCAGAAATGGATCAAGGGGTAGAAAATGGATGGATGGAATGTTAATATTAACCGCTGTCTTTTTCTGATTCCAGCATCTTCTCTTCAAAGATGTTCAGTACAGTTTATTGCTCCATCCTCCTTCCCATCAACTCTGACACACTTCCCTGTCCCTGCTGAAGAAAAGCAGGCCCAAAGCATGACCACCAGGTTTGACAATGGTGGTGAAAGTGGAGTGAGGAGCATGTAGTGTGTGCATTGCCTTGAATCTGGTAATTACCATATGTATAATGTTGCATGGGTAACTACCATATGATACTAATCTATAATGCGATTATTTAGATTTTTTTTTTTTAAATGCAACTTTGAAGAACAAACCAATCAGCTCTTGCAAGATGAGCTAGTATGGCACCTGTGGCAACCTGCTACACTGGACTTTAATGGTATGCCACTATGGACTACTAACTACTCTCTGAAGAATTAGATGTTGAATACTTTATTATTGTTTATTCCATTTTATGTACCTCCATCCATCCATTTTCTTCCCCTTAATCCATTTCTGGTTGGAGGGGGGGGATCAGTCAGAGCTGCACCCAGTACACTTAGCACCAGCCCCTCACTGATCCTCCTGCAGGTGGTGAGTCCACTGGAGCTGAAATCTTTCAGCTGGGGCTTCAGGAAAAGTGGGGTTAAGTGTCTTGCCCAAGGACACAACGACAACATTCATCAGTGGGAGTCACGAAGTGGGTCTCGTGGTGGCCTCGAACCCACGACCTTCAGGCTCCAAGGCCAATGCTCTACCAACTGAGCCACCGTGGACCCCCATCCCAGCTCCCTTACCATGGTTTATCTTGTATAACCTAACCATTGCTGTTTAGGGACCAATATTGTCAAAATATCAAACCTGTGAGGCCCTCGCAAATTATAGCCATAATCCTTCTGACAATATATTACACTCAGGTGGACTCTACTAAATTGTTAGGTCGACCATTGAAAAGTCATCAGGGAATATAAATGCAAAGCACTTCTATGTATCATTATGCATTCACTTCACATTTGTCCACCAGTGCGTGTGTGTGTGTGTGTGCGTGCGTGCGTGTGTGTGTCTGAAAATTTTGTTACATTTCTACTTTGATGGAATTATGAAAGTTTTGCTTCATGTAAATCTCATGTAAAATTTGCCTTGTATATCAATTGCTGGTCCAAAACCCTAGGACCGAGGAAACTAAAAGATGAGTCAATGCAGTCAAAATTAACTTAATGACCAACTGTGAAACTGTGAAGTCCTTGTTAGCGTTTAATCCGGAACATTGCTTGAACAAAACAGTGGCACTGGTAAATAAATGTGCATACATATAAACTGTTGTCCTAGCCAACAAAAGGTGAGGTCAGATCAAATCACTGCATGTGTCCTTTGGGTGTGTCAGGGATGGGAGGATGCTCAGTCTCTGCAGCACGGACCTTTGCATAAGGATTTACATATATTCCATCCGTTTTGGGGAGGGCCATGGGGGCTCATCTAGATTTGCTTTGTCACTTGACTCCGTCTCAATTCCAAACAAACACAACTCCATCTTCAGACTGGTGGGATCTTTTAGCACATCTCTCTTCGTAGAGGAACGTGAAGATGGCAATAAAGTGAGTTTCTCCATCTTTGATATTGGGCCCTTTACCATTTTGAGCAGGCATCGCTTTACCGCAGCCATGTGGAAATCCTCAACAGAGTTTGCTGTAAGTTAACATCACACTGTTGTATCACTACTGGGGCATGAAGTACTGAGATAGATTACAAGTGGAATATTTGACCTGGTATAGTTCTTCTTAAGGTTTTATGATATTGGGGAACTGAGCTAGTGATACTACTGCTCTTTTCAAGGGTAGGTTGTGTTGCTTTCCCAAGGATCCACTGGGAGACGTTGAGAGTTGGAGTGAGTCAGTTGACAAGGTCTTGGGATGTAAAGGTAAAAAAAAATACAAGCAACAAAAGAAAAGTACTATTAGGAACATCTCTCAGCATCATGTTTATTTTTTTATTTTCTAGCCGGACAGATAGCATTCCAACAGTTTCTGAAGTCGCAGTACAGCGAGGAGAACATACTGTTTTGGCTTGCATGTGAAGACTACAAAAAAGTCAAATCAACACCAGAAATGATATCATCGGCCAACAGGATTTTCTCAGAGTTTGTGGAGACAGAAGCGCCTCGACAGGTAAGGCAAATGCTTTTCATATTGAATGGAAGATAAAAATAGAAAATGGAATTATGTTTTGATTTCAGATTAACATAGATTGGAGCACCAGAGAAAACATAACTAAAAACATCTCGCAGCCCACGTTGAGCTCCTTTGAGACAGCTCAGAAACAGGTCTACAGTCTGCTGGCCCGGGACTGCTACCCACGCTTCCTCAAATCTGACATCTATCAGGGACTGCTGAGGAGAGCTGAATCCAGGTGACTGCTCAAACAGTCACCTGGATTCTCAACAACTTGAGTTTGCTTTAGTTCTGCCTTTGTCTCTTCTGCCGTAAAACTCTTTCAGTTCAGTGTGGATAACGGGTTTATACCATGCAGCTCATAGTGACACAGCTCTCAGGCTATGCTTTAAAGGAATATGTATGTTGTATTGTATCTAATATCACTATACAAGATCATTTTGTAAAGTATTAATTACACCAGTGGTTCCCAGTGTACCCCCTGAAACCTTGGATAACCAGTAAGTTCTAGAAGTATGTTTTTACAAGAATCTAATAGAAGATATTGCTAATTTATTGAAGGCATGTGCAAAATATTTGAAACCCTGGGTGACAATCCACAATCTTATCAAATGCAAGCAAAACTTCTGGGTCACTCCTGGGAGTACTTGTACCATAGTTTGGGAACCACGGACTTACATATTTTATTTAAGACCATAATGCTAACTTCTCTTGTATCTTGATATATTATCTAATATATTTATTAATAAAAAAATATAAATATTCAAAATGGGTGAGGTTCTTTTTGAATTCCAAGCAAATTACACATTTCCTTTAAAAGGTTTGCAGCAGCAAAGATTATTCAGCGGTCAAACATTTTAGATAAAAGGTTGTAACAGTTCGAGCCGATTTTCAACATCTGGAGATGTGTATCCGGCGACCACTGCTCCTTACAGGTGGCACTAGTGACATTGCAGGTCAAAAGCAGAGGACACATTTCCTTACAGGGATAATAAAGAACACCTTACCACATTATTTTATGCTTCTCATTCTTCTTTCTACCTCAAAAGCTGATGGTTACGATTGAAGCCATACTTTGATAAATTTCTCCATTGTGAGATCAAGTTTTATCTTGTATTATTTAAACACAGATAGCTTATATTTAATGTATTTTGGATTTAACTTTAAGCATCCCACATGGTGCATCAGTGATCTGATCAAAGAACAGAAATGGGAAAGGCTATGACAAATGTGCAATAAACCAAAATGCATCCAAACAAACCATAAATATTGTTTATGTTGCAAGTCTCTTTTTCCTGGAGAAAGGTGCATGATTCAGATGGTATTTTATACCTGCAGCCTGTTCATGGTATTCAAATCTGGATGAGAGCAGATTCACATGAAACATAATGTTTTATTCAAATAAGATTCAAATGAATAAAAAAGCACTTACTCCTTTTACCATGGCGTGCATGGATTTTACAGAACAACTTTCTGTGGCTTTAAAAATTTTCAAAAAATGAATGATAGTTTTGAAAATATTTATATCAGCAATTATGGCAATGCTGTCCCTTCAATGTGTAGTGCTTTAAGCCTGGTCAGCTCAAAGATCAAGTGAAGTTTAGTATTTCTATAGTATTCATAGAAGATATTAAATGCATGTTTAGGAAGCAAGAATTGAATCAAAATTGCATTTTTGGGTGCTTTCATTTGCAAGACGGTAAGGATCACAATTATTCATTCGACATTTCCCTGACAAACCCCAAATCATCTTTAAAAAAAATCAGGTTTCCACTGTTTAGAGCTCTAAAACAGTTTTACCCATGCTACTGTAGATGCATCTTTATACACTTCCACAAGAGTATAATGATAGTTTTAATAGTTTCACAGGCCATAACAATGATGATATGCTTTATATACCATACAATGAATGCATCACAAAGTTCTTTACGGTTTAAAACCATGGAAAACATGAGGCTGAGTGCTGTAGTAACTAGTGTAGGAAGCGTCATTCAAGGAGCCATGCACCAGGAGCAGAGAGCCGCCTGCAGCCACAGGGAACGAGAAGGGACCCAGAAGAGAGATGAAGCCAGACCCCCACAGACCCCTCTGACCACCACTTCCATGGCAGAGGGCTTCACCAGAGGAAACACTGGGGAAACCAAACCAAAATAAGTCAGTAACAAAATGATCATGTAAAAGAGACAATAAATAAAAACATATAAATGAATAAAGTGTACAATAAATCATTCCACTAATATGTCTAATACATACATTAGGTAAATACAGTGAAACATAATGAGCCTAAGCCTCCATTAAAAGACTATGGAAACATCTTGATATTCTTTATCAAATAGTTCAGTTGGGAGTTCAGATGTTCTTATGAAATACTGCCACCCAGCGGTAGAGAAGAGGAGCACTGTGTTGCACTCTAGCTATCCCAACATGCACCGCGCTGGAGCTGACCAGACTTTCGCCCAGACCGTGGTCAGGCCTCATCACTTATTGTTTCAGAGTTGGTATTTTGGGTAAGTTATGCATTATTGTTGTTAATTAGAAATGAAGTTATCAGCAGGTCTCTTCCGTTCTCATTCCCTTGAAGCTGCAGGATCTGTTCAGACTCATTAGAACAGTCTTTTGTGATGGTATTACGTGATTAAAGACTATATTATAAACATATGTACCGTAGCAGCCAGTAGGCATCAAACATCGATCTGACACAAACATATCTTAAGTTGTAAGTCTTAAGCAGTGATTTGAGAACCATGATTCCTGTCCTTCCCCTGGGGCTGAGTGTGTGCCATGTGGATCATCATCATTGCCTCTAATCCGCTCAACTATTTATGCCATTCCATTGTCAGAGCTCGCTGGAAGTGGTGTTCATCAATGCCCCCGCACACTGAAATCTTGTTTTAGAATGAGATATTTCAATCTTACCACTCTGCTGTGTATGGTGTGTGATAGTAGCATAAATAATACAATTACATAAACCTGACATACATTCAAGTGCAATTAATTCATTCAATTGAACTATTTAAATCTTTTTCAGCTGACTGAATTATTATGGAGAAGACTGGCCCCAACAATAAGGACCCATGAGAGGTAGATGACAGGGCACGATTCTGTCGCTTTCTATGTTACGGATCAGAAGGAGATGTATACACAGCCAGAGAGGACGTTCAGGTGAGCAGAGAGCAAGCGGAGTCTCTGCAGGCTCTGCTGGAAGATGGCAGAGGAGCTGAAGTGGTGGAGCTCATCATAAGGTATTGTCAGGACGGGAGAGTTGTCTCTATGGGTCCTTGTCTCTTTGCCCTGGCCATGTGCACACAGCACTCGGACATAAAGACGAGACAGGCTGCGTTCAAAGCTTTAAAGGAAGTTTGCTTGGATTCCGTCAGTTTTTTTTCTTTCATACATTATAAGAAAGAACTTAAGGACACAAACAGTGGAATTTGGGGACGTGCCATGAGAAAAGCTGTTTCAAATTGGTACAATGGACAAGATGCTATGACTCTTGCGACAGTGGTTGCAAAATGTAAACAACAAAGTGGCTGGTCTCATAAAGATCTCCTCAAGCTGTCTCACACCAAACCAGCAAATGATGGTGAGTGTCTCCAAGGTTATTCCACACTCAATTTAATGTGTGTTTAACTTTTCATTTGTTTGCAGGTGTTTCTTTGGTTTGCAAATATATAATGAAAGGGTGGAAAGAAATCAAGACTGAATATGCTGACAAGGAGAACCCTGAAGAGGTTCTGAAAGTGCTTTCCTATCTGGAAGTCGTGGATAAAATTAAACACAGCAGTGACGAGACCGAGGTCATAACTATGATAGAGGAGCACGCATTAGAGCGGGAACATCTGCTGACCAGCCATTTGAAGTCTAGAAATGTATGTATGGCTTCTGTGTTCCCTCTAGACTGGTTATTGTTACAACAACAAATGCTACTAAACAAAATCAAGCAGTAAGTCAAGTGTCTGTAGAAGTTTGTTCTTATCCTACAGGTGTGGAGGGCTTTGCTGAAAGAGATGCCCCTTCGGTTACTGATGAAACGTTTAGGAAAAATGACAGCCAAGAAGATTCTTGATCCAGGGAGCACTGAAACACAGACTGTTTGTGATCGTATCCAGAATGAAGTCATCCTTAAAAAAGTAGGTCCAGAAAGAATTTAGTTTGAACTCAATCCAATAAATACAATTGTCTGTGAAATTACTTGATGGAAAACTGATGTTTTTCCTGGGTTCAGTTTTGATTATTCATATTTTCCCTCTACCAGGCCAGAATACATCCATTCACAATCCTTGTGGCTTTAGAGAACTACAAAAAAGGGCAAGGATATAAAGGTAAAACAAAATGGGAAACGGAGGGCAACATTATCGATGCTATGGACGCAGCATTTTATAAAAGTTTAACGGTACGTCTTTGATACGTTGGTAAGTGGTGTTTGTCATCCATCCATCCATCCATTTTCTACCCTTTAATCCATTTCTGGGTCAGGGGGGTGACAGTCAGAGATGCCACCCAAGTCTCATTGCACCAGCCCCTCACTGACCCTCTGCAGGTGGTGAGTCCACAGGAGGACGGCTGCTCTCTGAGTGTGAGCATAGCCTTGATCTTTCAGTGGGGGCTTTGGGCAAAGTGGGGTTAAGTGTCTTGCCCAAGGACACAACGACAGCAGTCATCAGTGGGAGTCGGTGGAGAAGGTGCAGAGGTGGGAATTGAACCCACGACCTTCTGGGCTTAAGGCCAATGCTCTACCAACTGAGCTACTGTGGTGTTTGTCAATGTCACAAAAATATTTATTATTTTTCAGTATTTGGAACCTGTGGATAAAAACCTTGTGATAGCTGTGGACATTAGCACATCTCTGAGCAGCGTTGTTCCAGGGACATCACTGAGCACAGCTGTCGCAGCAGCTGCTATTACAATGGTACCAACCTTTGTGTAATTTAATCTTTCTTTGTACTTCTAACTTGGTGATCACTTCTGTGTAGGATTCACATTTGCATGTTTTCTTGCTTGGAATATAAAAATGCATATTTTCAATACAGAGTTTTTCATCAACTGAGGCAAACACACAAGTTCTGGCCTACTCTAGTGGGGCATTGATACCATGTTCTGTGGCAGCAGGAATGACACTGGAACAAGTAACAGCTGAAATGATAAAGGTAAATCTTCCAGTTTATTAAATTCAATATTTTATGTATTTAAAACTTTTAACTCAATTCAAATGATTCAAATGCTCCAGACCCCCAGTGACTGTACAGACTGCACCCTTCCAATGGCCTGGGCTACAGAAAACGAAAAAGCTGTTGATGTGTTTATTATATTGACCAACAACCCAATTTGGCCATTCAGTGCTAGCCCAGTTGAAGCCCTAAAGAAGCACCGACAGGTATGATGTGCTTTTCCCTTTGCCACTGTCATTAGATTTGCCTACCCTAGACTAGGTCATACTGAAAAACCCTGAAAAATCTATATTTTAAAGATAATATAGAAGCAAAGTAGAAAATAATGTATACTTGAGTGCTAGAAATATATACTTAAGTTATCTATGTATACGTATTTATAAATCTGTATATAAATCTGTCATAGTAAGGGTTACAATATTCACAGTGATGAACATACTGTATATGTTAGTAGCATGAGGAACATTTGGTCCAAATCATCATGTTGTCGACTGTACTTTCAAATGTTGATGTTAATAACTGACTGTATACTTCTAAATTAGCAGTTTATTTGTATTCCACCCATGTTAGGGATAGTTAGTGTGAGACAAACCCGAGAGCTGGGGGTTGTGGCATCAAAAGACAATCATATGGTTCTGCATTGACTGAGACGTAGTGAGGTGTGTCAGCCATACATGACGTCGAATCATTAACTATTCTTTTCTTCTCCAGAAAATGGGGATCTTCTCAAAGTTTGTGATGTGCGGGCTAACATCAACTGGACATGCTATTGCTGACACGCCCGACCGCGGAGTCCTCAGCATCTGCGGCTTTGACCTAGGGGCGATAACGCTAATTCAAAATATGGCCCACAGTATGATTTAATATTGTTACTGTAATTATTTAGGAAAATGTAGCCCAACTCGGCCTTCTCTTTACTCATTTTATAATATACCAACATGAGTGTCCAGTAGGCTGGACAACTACTGATGTGAAGTAGTGAAGTTTTTTATTATTCACCCAAAGATGTGTTGTATTTATGAACTTGTGAGAATATCTCTGATTCTGCTGTACACTGGAGCCTCTGTTGATAAATGCAACATCTACAAATCAGAGTTCAAATAAAATGTTTGTTTTAAATGGCAGTGTTTTATGAAAAATGGGATAGTGGTTTATTTGTCAGAAATTTGTCAGAAACCCCAGACATTTGTCTTGAACACAGCTTACAAAGCACATCTGTTATGCCCACACAATAATAAAAATGCATAAATGATAAAGATAATAAAAGTGAAAACTATTACTTAAAACGGGGAATTGCAATGTTTTGGAAAATTGAGAACAATATATTAGCAATAATAATGACAATAACAATGCATTTATATGTTAATAGACTAAATATTGTATACTGTTAAGGGAGTTACTGTTATATATCCATGGGAGCAATATGTGAAAATTGGGCCAAAAAAAAAAATGGTACTGCAATCATGGTCAATATTCAGTAGTCCTCTCCCTGACTCAGGTTGCCAGATATGCTGACAAATCCAGCTGGGACCATGATAGTTGACTAGAGAAGAGTTTTGTCAACAACAAACACCTATTTTACAAAGGCCCAATAGTCACACGGACAGGACATTGAAGTGGTACAGTCTCACAAATACCTTGGAGTCCACCTGGACCACAGACTGGACTGGTCAGCTCAGGCCAATGCTGTCTATGAGAAAGGTCAGAGCAGACTTTTCTTCCTTAGAAGACTGAGGTCCTTTGATGTGAGCAGTCAGATGTTGCACACATGTTGTACCAGTCTGTTGTAGCTAGTGCCATGTTCTTTGGGGTCGCATGTTGGGGCGGCAGTCTGTCCTCGAGAGACAGTAACTGCCTGGACAGGCTGATCAGGAAATGTGTCTCTGTGATGGGAGAAGAGTGGACTCTGTGGGAGCTGTGCTGGAGAGAAGGATGAGGGCTCTAATGCAGGGCATCCTGGGTAACTCCAGACACCCTCTGCATGACACTGTGGCCGCTCAGAGGAGTAATTGTAGCAACAGGCTTATATCACTGTGCTGCTGAGCGGAACGTTTCAAGAGATCCTTTGTTCCTTCTGCTGTCAGACTGAACAACAGACTTGGATGAATCTTCTGCAGCTGGACATCTGAATTTGTCCTACAGGGGATCAATAAAGTGTCTAGAAATCCTTGGTTTATTCCTTGTTTTGTCATTAATGATTTGAGAATCATAACAAGACCTTTTATGAGTGCCGGAAGGCCGAGCGGAAGTGGCGAAAGTCAAATCTCAAAGTTGACCATGAGATCTTCAAAGATGCGTTGTGCAATTTTAACAGGGAACTACGTAGAACGAGGGAAATGTACTTTTCTGAAACTATTGAAGGCTGTAGCAACAATCTACGTGTTCTGTTTTCAACAGTAAATAGATTGACGAATCCCCCTGTTAAGATGCCATCAGAACTTACTTCCAAATCTAAATGTAATGAGTTTGCTCAGTTCTTTAATGACAAAGTCCAAGGTATCAAAAACGCCATCACCTCCACGATAGAAATAATAATCCAACCGCCAGTGAGGCTTTTTGGGCTGACGCACTTTACACCAGTACAAATTGAAACTGTCCAGGAGATAATCACTAGTCTGAGTTCCTCCACATGCAGCCTGGATGTATTACCTCCTAGATTTCTCAAGTCAGTTCTGAGCAGTCTTTTACCTTCACTTACACAAATAGTTAATATGTCTCTTGAATCTGGAACATTCCCAATGGCCTTGAAAACGGCGGTCATCAGGCCCCTCCTAAAAAAGAGGAGTCTGGAAGCCCTGGCACTCAAAAATTATCGGCCCATTTCAAATCTGCCTTTCATGGGAAAAATTCTAGAAAAAGTTGCCTATAAACAACTTACAGAATTTTTAATAATCAATAACGCTTATGATATGTTCCAGTCAGGGTTTAGACCCCACCATAGCACTGAGACCGCGCTAATAAAGGTAACAAATGACATCAAACTAAACACTGACGCAGGAAAAGTCTCAGTCCTTTTTCTGTTAGATTTAAGTGCTGCTTTTGACACTATTGATCATGGCATCCTCATTCAGAGACTTGAGGACTGGGTTGGTGTTGCTGGCACCGCCCTAAGCTGGTTTAGGTCCTATTTACAAGACAGAAAGTTTTTTGTGGAGATCGAAAACTGTACCTCAGACCACTTGGCCCTGGCCTGCGGAGTGCCACAGGGGTCAATCCTGGGTCCTCTTCTGTTTAATATTTACATGTTGCCTCTAGGTCAGTTGATTCACAGTAATAATGTCTCTTATCACAATTACGCTGACGATACTCAGGTCTATGTGTCCCTGACAGCAGGAGAGCATGAACCAGTGGACTCGCTCCTTCACTGTGTCCAGCAAATCGGTGATTGGATGCAAAATAACTTTCTCCAACTAAACACCGACAAAACTGAAATAATTGTTTTCGGACCCCAGAAACAAAGAGAGAGCGTTATTTGTCACCTCCAGGCTCTCTCTCTCTACAACCCTCAAATCAGGTCAGAAATCTAGGAGTGATAATGGACTCAGACTTAAATTTCAAAAGCCACATAAAATCTGTAACATCAGCAGCTTATTACCACCTAAAAAACATTGCTAAAATTAAAAACATAGTGTCTAAGGCAGACTTGGAGACTCTTATACACGCTTTTGTCTCCAGTCGGTTAGACTATTGCAATGGCCTGCTCACAGGTCTGTCCAAACAGGCTGTAAAACAGCTGCATAATAAATTAAATTTTATGCATGTATCATACTGTATTTAATATGATTATATTAGGGTGTTCAAACAAAATATTTAATTAGATCGAGTTTTTTCCCCATTCTGGCGGGTTTCTGCGCATGCGCAAGTCAGATTTGGGCACACTAGCAGTGTAGTTTCACAGGATCAGTGGACTGCTTAAAACAAACTTTACACGAAACTCTTACTCTTAAAACACACATATCACAACGCGGAACCATCAACATGCTGTTATCAGTTAAAGAAGTATGAAAAAAGAGCATGGTTTACTAATGCCTTTTGACATATTAAGACCATTTATTGATGGGTTGACATGAAAATCCTGTAACAATATTTAAGATTTTCATGTCAAGTATTTTCAAATACTTCTTTAACGGATAAAGGTGGTTCAGCCAAGATATTGGCTACTTTTTGGAATTTCAAAAATAGTTTTACAGCTCCAAAATATTGTTAGTGATTTCATTTTTGATGTACCGCCCTCCACTGTTTTACCAATCAGAAAGTCTGTGATCCAGGTTGCCAGAACTCTGTCGAATTAATCTCACTTGTAAAGTAACATGTGGCCGCTGTACTAAAAAGGTCTCGTTATGATTCTCAACTTATTACTAGCTAGGAATTAATGGAGGATTTCTATCATGTCCTTTGTGAAAAAAAGTTTTGGTTATAGATATGTTGTTCCGTTTCAATTCAGATATTATGGTCCTAGCTGGATTTGACTGCATATCTGGCAACCAGGGAGCGTGGAAGAGATTGCTGTACCACTTTTGGCCAGATTTTTACATACTGCTCCTTTAATGTAAGAAACCGATGGTGAGGTAGGAAACACAGAAGCATCTATATAATTTGCTGTTCAAACCTAACAATACATCCAAGCACTAGACAAGGAGGTGCAAGACTACTAAACAAATGCATACATTTATAGTAGATTTAGCTGAATAGAATCTAACTCATAGGATAGGGAAGTCTGGGCGTCTCTGCTTAGACTGCTGCCCCCGCGACCCGGCAACGGATAAAGCGGAAGAAAATGGATGGATGGATGGATGAATCTAACTCAGTTACTTTACTTAAGTAACTATAGTGTAAGACATTACTAGTATTATAATTACAGTTATAATCAAGATACTTTAGATAATACTTTGAATCTATCCATCCATTTTCTACCCTTTAATCCATTTCTGGGTCAGGGGGGTGGCAATCAGAGATGCCACCCAAGTCTCATAGCACCAGCCCCTCACTGACCCTCTGCAGGTGGTGAGTCCACAGGAGGACGGCTGCTCTCTGAGTGTGAGCATAGCCTTGATCTTTCAGTGGGGGCTTTGGGCAAAGTGGGGTTAAGTGTCTTGCCCAAGGACACAACGACAGCAGACCTTCATGCCTGAAGGCCAATGCTCTACCAACTGAGCAACTGTCGCCCTGCTGAATCTAATCATACTTTATTAGATTATGTAGTTGAGTTGAGTGGAAAATATATATGTTCACAGAGGCCATACGAACATCATCTCACTGTACTCCTGTCACCTCACATTGTGTGCACCATGTGCACTTGTATATTGTAAATAGTAACTGTAACTCTATTTTAAATTTATTCCTTAGAAGTTTTTTATTCTTTATTTTTTTTATTATCTCTTTCTGACTGTTGCACTGAGCCAAAGCAATTTCCAAGTCTGTGACTTCCTGTTACTTACGTGGCAATAAAAATTATTCTGATTCTGATTCTGATTCTGATCTGGACCTAAAAGTGTCTGGAGACTTCAGGCTGTAATCGGCTGCAAACTATAAAGTTATATTTATGTAAGTGTGTCCCATTTGTGTCCGTAAAAAGGGTGCGGTACTTAAAGAGAAACCATTTTGGAGAAACGTGTCATTCCAATCACCTGCTAAAATGCAGATGTACTCAAATTTAAAGATGAAAGTCTGAAGTTACATCAAATGTGTTACTATTAGTGCTGTCCAACGATTAAAATATTTAATCGCGATTAATCGCATGAATTTCATAGTTAACTCGTGATTAATCGCAAATTAGTCACACATTTGCGTGCTGTGTGCAATTGCTTTTTTTATTGAAAACAATGTGTAGTGTTATATTACACACTAACATTTGATGCAAAATCATCAATAAATGGATGACAAAATAAATAATTGGTAACAAAAAGCCCCTTCAATGTGTGTGTGTGGGTGTGTGTGTGTATGTGTGGGTATAGACCATAGACTGTATAGAAACATCATGGTGTCATTATGATGATGATAAACAATCTGTAAATATTTTGTAAATTTGTTCATGTAAATACTCTATGCTGTTTCTCTGTTTACCTTCGGTATATCTATGACTGTATACTGTTTGCTTGTATTGCCTTTTTTATTAACCCCTCCCCCCATCTCCCACTTCATGTCCCCCCCCCCCTCCCCTCCTATGTGCCCTTCTGGGTTTCTTCTTTGGCCCCCTGTATCTCCAACTACATATTGTTTGTAATCTCTGTCTACAATGTATCTGAACTAGTCCTTTTCTTTGTTTCTATGTGTTTGTCTGCAATAAAAAGTAAAAAAAAAAAAAAAAAAAAAAAAAATTTTTTTTTGTTTTTTTTTTTTTTTTATCGCGCGATAAAACAAATGACGGCGTTAATATTGATTTGCGTTAACGCGTTAATAACGCGCTATTTTGGACAGCCCTAGTTACTATTAAATCTGTTGTGGTGGAATTGGTTGAATCAATCAACTTTATTTCAATGTATGAACTTAATTTATTTTCTGCAACAATGTGTACTATTTGTTACTGACTGTTTTATAAAGTAGTCACATCAAAGGACATAAGGAAGAAAAGAAAGAAAAGCACCAACAGAACAGCACAACCACAGTATGAGGCAATGAGCAAAGTTAAGTGTCTTCAGGATTTTGTTTATAAAATACATTTTCTCATCTATCTTATACACTCTATTGTATCTTATTGGTGCATCGTTTTTGTTACAGATAAATACATTGCCATGTAAGGAAAAAAACTGTTGGACAATACATGCTACACATCTACATCAAATCAATTTACTTTACAATTTGTTTTAATTGCAAATATAACTTTAAAACATCAAACAATTGTATAGACGTATAAGGATGAAAGTGGTTCTTGAGAAATTCATTTCTTGAATATGATTTTAATCATACTAATAGTATTACTATTGTAATGCTCCATCTAAACAGCTTAAATTCAAACACCACTCTGGGATTGTAGTTGCACTGTCTCTGGGACCACCAGAGGTTTGTGCCACAGTTTTTTCAGTACAGATTGTTCAATGCGCGCAGGCAATTTGCAGGACACACCGTGTTGTTAGCTTAGCTGGGGTCCTCACAAACTCACCACAAGACGAGTGAAGATGGCGGACGTGCTGAGCGTTCTCCGTCAGTATAACATCCAAAAAAAGGAAATTGTTGCAAAAGGAGATGAAGTTATATTTGGAGAATTTTCATGGCCGAAAAATGTTAAGACGAACTACATAATCTGGGGGTAAGTCGCTTTAAAATCTGCAGCTTTTTGGTAGGCCTTAACAAGGTGTCGTGAGCCTCTGCATTGGAAGATCAATGCAAGAATGAAACAACTCACTGCGAAGTTCAAACTTGACGTATGTACACTAATATACAATTGATTACATTGTTTTGCAAACATGTTCTTTTCCCCACACTATAAAAACCACAGAACATGTTACTCAGTGTGTCAGCTAATAATGAATATAGTAGACCTGTGGCTTAATGGTTTTGTCATATACTCAGTTTACTGTCTCATTCACCTACGGTCTGTGGTTACCACAATCAAAATACATGATTTTAACGATAATGGTTACGTAAAGTGTGAAATCCTACTGTTTCAGAACTGGCAAAGAGGGGCAACCAAAGGAATATTATACATTGGACTCTATTTTATTCTTACTCAATAATGTACATCTTCCTCACCCTTCGTATGTGCGGAGAGCTGCCGTAAGTCAAATTTACTGTCACTCAAGGTTTAACTTTAGCTTTGATTTGGAAACTGACCACTGACCATCCTCTTTTACAGACTGAGAATATTCCTGTGGTCCGAAGACCTGATCGAAAGGGTTTATTGTCTTATCTCAATGGCGAGAGCTGTAAGTTATTTTGAGAGTATTTTATAATTGTAGTGCTGTAGCTCTGCTTTTTGGATCAAATCATGTCAACTACATACTTTTTGTTTTTAGCTACATCTTCAAGTATTGACAGAAGTGCGCCCATAGAAATTGGCTTGCAAAGGCCAACACAAGGTAAAGAAACAATGTCTTTTACACCTACAGACCTAAAGATTAACATAATCAATTTTACTCTTTGCAGTAAAAAGGGCGGCAGATGAAGTATCTTCTGAAACAAAAAAACCTAGAATTGAGGTAAAGTTTAAGTCATTTATATGAAGACACAATGATTTATAATTGTGGTCTAACATGGCCACAATTTTATGTATGTATCTTTTTTGAATTATTATTTCAAATAAGTACTTTCTTTATTGTTGTATTTATAAAGGATGAGGAACGTGTGCGTCTGGATAAAGAGCGCTTGGCGGCTCGACTTGAGGGACATAAAGAAGGAATTGTACAAACGGACCAGATCAGGTATGAATGTTTCTCATATGGATGATATTTTGTACAAGAAAACATTTAAAATGGCCAAAACTCTCTATTCAGATCTTTGTCTGAAGCCATGTCTGTGGAGAAAATTGCAGCCATTAAGGCTAAGATCATGGCTAAGAAGCGCTCCACCATCAAAACCGACCTGGATGATGACATAACCCAGAAGCAGAGAAGTTTTGTAGATGCAGAAGTGGATGTCACCAGAGATATTGTGAGCAGAGAGAGGGTTTGGAGAACCAGGACAACTATTCTACAGAGCACGGGAAAGGTTTGTAAAACATCTGTAAAAATACTGACATGATTTAGTAAAGTAAGTGCTTTCAGAGTGATCCTGGTCTGTGGAATATGCGATGTCAATACAAAATAATACTTTTTTACCAATGCATTTCACTATAAAGGCCAAATTGGAGTTAAGTGTCTTGCCCAAGGACACAACGACAGCAGACATTAGTGGGAGTCGGTGGAGAAGGTGTAGAGGTGCGAATTGAACCCTCGACCTTCAGGCCTGAAGGCCAATGCTCTACCAACTGAGCTACTGTCGCCCTGCTTGATACTTTATTAGATTATGTAGTTGAGTTGAGTGGAAAATATATATGTTCACAGAGGCCATAAGAACATCATCTCACTGTACAATGTGAGGTGACAGGAGCCACCTAGTGGCTCACAATCAGCCACTAGGTGGCAGCAAAAGAAAAAGTAGGTTTGGAATAAACAAACATCTTTAATCTTCAGAATTTCTCCAAGAACATCTTTGCCATTCTTCAGTCAGTTAAAGCCAGAGAAGAAGGCCGTGCTCCAGAACAGAGACCAGCACCAAATGCCCCTCAAGTGGTAATAGCTTGTTTGTTATACAATATATTTTTTGTTTTGTTTTTTTTACTTCAATTGGAAATGTTGTACTATTTTCTTTTAGGATCCTTCCATTAGAAACAAACAGCCAGTCCCAGCAGCCTACAACAGATATGATCAGGAGCGATTCAAAGGAAAAGAAGGTGGGTTAAGCTTGGAGGTCGAGAAGGAGCAAATAATACTAATACGTGTTTTCTTACTTGTTGTTTTTCTACATTTGTTCAGAAACGGAGGGATTTAAAATTGATACCATGGGTACTTATCACGGGATGACCCTGAAGTCAGTGACGGTAAGACTGATCTTACGGCAATCGTTTCACACTTCAAGAGGTTTTCCCTTTTTAAAAGAGGGATTATTGCTGCAGTACTTAATATCCATTAAAGTGATATGTCTGGAGTTTGTCAGAAAAAAGAGTGTTAGGAAGTCTGATTCTCAACAAGAGGTACAGGATTTAAAAAAAACAATCCAAGCTCCCTCCCCCTTCCTTTCTGATTGGTCTACGCCTACGTTTCCGTAACACATTTAAATGGTAATCTGAGAACACATTATACATAAACATTATTAATACACATGCACGGAGGTTTTCAGAATTATCTGTCCACGTTTTCATGACAAAAATGATGTTTTAATGCACGAAAAAACCCGGAAGTAGCTATTAACATTGATTGAACATTTTAGGACACATCTGCAGAGGATCTGATTATGGATATACGTTCAGTATATGAATGATTATGGATATAGGTTCAGTATATAAATGATTATGGATATAGGTTCAGTATATAAATGATTATGGATATAGGTTCAGTATATAAATGATTATGGATATAGGTTCAGCTTGATTTGGAGGCTCCGCGAAAACAAACAACTGAGCATGCGCGTAGCTATGAGCATCAGCGCCGATGATTGACAGCCCTTGGCATGACTTAATTGGTTAACGTGGACAGCATCATGGATTCTGAGCTATAGCTAAGAGCAGGGAAGGCGGGACTTACCTGTAATATTAGAATTCATAAAGTGACATCTTTTATGTCAACATTTAAGGCCATGAGGTCAATTTAATACAATTCTTAAAATGTGTATTTCATTTAGAGTTCCAGACTATCACACTAATAATTTCAGTACTAATTAGTTAAGGGATAATGAAGCTCTTTTGTAAGCAAATTATTACATAACACACATTTTGATTGGAATTATTACAATAACTAAGGAAATATACAGAGATGCATATGGATTTTACCACTAACAGAACTGTATATCAATGAGACTCTGAAGTGAAATGCTTAACGTGACAAAGTGCCGACTGTCGCACAAATTGCGAACTTTGCTAATGAGGTACACACTTTTCAGAGACACGCCTGAGGCACATTTTTGTCGTAAAAAGACTATTTAATGTATCTGTGGATAGTCACCTCTATGTGTGAAACGGGTACATTTGAATTCTGCATCGGAGAGTTGCAAAGATCACTAGTTTGTATAATAGGTGGTGGTCACATTCACATGCACCTTCTGCAGCATGATCCAGCTAAAGTCCTTTGTCCGCTGCTCAGAGAAGCATTGTTCCCTTAAAGTGATTGTCTGGAGTTTGTCAAAAAGAGAGACAGAGAGGTACTTGATTTGCAAAAAACGACGCAAGCTCCCTCCCCCTTCCTTTCTGATTGGTCTACGAGCTGCTGCGAGCATCAGCGCCGATGATTGACATCCCTTGGCATGACTCGATTGGTTAACCTCGACGGCACCGTGGATTCTGAACTATAGCTAAGAGCAGGGAAGGCGGGACTTTCCCGTAATATTAGAATTAATAAAATGACTTATTTTATATCAACATTTAAGGCCAGGAGGTCAATTTAACACATTTCCTAAAATTTGTAATTCATTTAGAGTTACAGACTATCACTTTAAGTGAAAAGAGTACTCACCCTTTTCTCTTTTTTTCTATCTTAGCCCTTATAATAAATATATTTCAAAACAAAAAAGACTGGTTTGACAAATACATTTTTACAGTCGATTTCATAAATTATGGGTATTATGTTGACTCTTGCTCCCATAGCTTTGGTGCGTGTCTTTTATTATTTTTTTTTTAATGCATGTCTTGATATATACAATCTACAAAAGTTAAGATTGCAATCAGGCCCTATTTCACTTTCGTCCTGATGTTCCTCTAGTCTGTCTGCTTCTAACGGGCCCCTCCCTCAAGTATGTGTCAATCAAACTCCATCAAATTGATAATGCATTGTACTTACGCCGCTTTTCGTGACACCCACAGGTGCTTCATGTTGCATCATTGATTCTCTCTGTACACAGGGATTGGTAAACTTCTACAGTACTTATTCATGCACACGCAAGACTCATGTGGGTAAAGGGATTTGCCTACGGACACAACAACAGTATGGCACTTTACCCCACCCCACTGTTGCACCTAGTGTTCCTGCAGGTCTCTCATCACAGTACTAACCAGACCCTACCCAGCCTAGCTTCAGGATTAAGTTGCAGGGCTAAATAATCATATGCTTGAGGGGTTGACTTGGTTTATCAACTTTTACACCAATATTTTCACTTTTATGGCAAATGAATACAATCAATATTCCTGCTTGTAATAGGAATATTGACCACCATAATTATGCACCAAATGAATTCTCTTGTCTATGTTTTTGTGTTTGAACTCTCATTTTTATTGCACATCTTTGTTCGTTTGAAAAGTAATGACAGACTATGCAGTGTAAAACTCCAGAAAATGATTTCTGTTTTGACACTGGATGATATTCAAACGCATACCTGTCACATTTCATTTAATACATTACTTATTTGAAATCCTGTACATACAGAATCAAGCGCCGTTTGACTGTTTTTTATGCTGCTTTGCAAGTTCATCTCAGTGCAGTCTTTTGGAGCGTGTTCGACTTATCCTCTCCTTCAAGGCGTTGATGCAGGCGTTGTGCTTGTTTGTTTGCAAGTGATTCCAGTATTTTAGTAACTCATTTGGATGAAACCCATGCGATGTTATCAGGTGACTGTACTTGCAGCTTGAGTATGAAACTCTCCAGTGGTTAAATAAAAACTCATTGGGGGGAGGCGTGGGTTCAATACTGATTTTAGCCAGACAGACTCCTACATACACATCTTCCAGATGTAGATAGCGAATGTTTAGAGACACACTGTAAATTTTCCTTGCTAAATCTCCAGAGAACACATAGCCTGTTCCAGAACAGAAGGTGGGATACTTGTTGCCTGGGTAGGATTCTAGAGGCATGTACCATTTACTATTTTTATTTCGATTTGGTGCAAAGCCTCTCATGTTATTTCCTGTAAAGTAATTTGTTCTATGTGTCAGCTCTGGCCTGAGTAATTTCAGAATAAGATATTCAGTGTTGACAAACATGTCGCTGTCAGTCTTCATCACGTATGCAGCCTGTGGACAGTATTTTGCTATCCAGTTCATTCCCATCATTGTTTTAACAGTTAAATTCTTATACGAATCAAGGAAGTTTTGTTGAATAATATCATGATGCCTGCGACTCTCTGATTCCAGCATCTTCTGCTGCACAAGCCCTAGCTCTCCTTCAGTTTTTCCCAATAAAAACAAGCGTATGAAGCCCAAAGAGGGAGCAACACTCTCATTTCCCCATGTTTGTCGGATAGCATTTCTCGCCTCTACTTGCCGGGCCTCTGTAGCTATCAGCAGCACCAGGAAGGGTGCAAGTGTTCCCTTGGAGCATTTGTTTTCCTCATTAATGATATATGCAAAAGGCCCGTCTGACACCAGTATTTGTGGCTCAGTTTGAGTGCCGTTGACTGTCTGAGAGTCTGGCTCATCCTGAAGAGGGGAAAGACGCACGATCTCATGTGAGGCGTTGTCTTCATGAAAGGTCGGCTGTGGGACTATAACAAAGTGCCATGTGCTGTGTTTTGAGCTGACGTTTGATTTCGCTTTTGTCGATTCAAGCTTCTTTCCTCCAAAAACCACTGGATGTCCTCTCCACCAGGGCAAACCTATGAGCTGTGGGAGCCACACCTGGTGGACTAAAAAAAACAAAAATCCCAACAAAGAGAGAAGATAGAGAAGTTTGGCTGCATGTGTGCAGCAATGTCTCCGTCTCCACTGCATGACTTTAGCAGAACTTTTCAGTCAACATGTTGCAAGGCACGCCACTGGGATCTAGATCTGTCCTGAAAGAAAAGAAAGAAAACTATTTGTATTACCTTTTTTGATGATGACTTTTACTTTTAGTGCTGAACGATTGATCAAGTATTTTAGTATGCTATTAATCACAACTAATACATTTAAGTACAAAGTGTAGTTACTATAATTCTCAAGTTTGGTGTTACTTAAGTCAGCCCCCTTTACAATTTTCTTTTTGTGTGCTAATGGTGTCCTCTGGAGGCCTGCACAAGATGTCAAAAAGTTTACGCTGATTTTTATTTTGCTGTATCTTGTTTTCTTCTACCTCGGAAACCATGTGGTCTTGATTTAGTTCCTGTTGTAAAAGGCCGCCCTAGTATTGTTATAAACAGACACTGAATGTGTACTCGACTCAGCGTTACAAAAGCAATGTTTTGATGTTTAGCAACAATGTTTTAGCATCAAGGTTTGGAGGTAAGCTAGCTTCCCTGCGAGGTAAAATGCCAATATTTTGGTGAGCCGATAAAAAAAAAAATATTAGCGTCTTCAGGGTATCTCATGCCATTTCGGATACTTGGCTTATGTATACAAATAAACATGTGTGCTCAAACATTATACAAGACACAACTTTATACAAGATGCCTGCACCTGATTTAGCACCATGTTGGTTTTCCAAAACTAATTCAACTCAAACAAGTTAATGCCTTCATTTAACATGAATCAATAAGGTTTTCTTCTGTTAACTTCATTTCAAATGTATCTGGATCCAATTGAGATAAATATTTGTGTTATTACCAACTTTTTTAAGAATTATTAGTTATAATTATAGTAATAATTAGTATCACTATTTATCATCAAAATAATTGTTAGTTACAGCCCTAGTCTGTTCAAAAATGCCTTGCAACGTTAGCTTTAGCATTTGTCATGCTTGCTTCCCTGAGAGTGATGTTTCACTTATTTACTGAGTTACACTCTACCCTCTTGAAGAACCCAAACACACAAAGAGCTGTTTGTCAGGCCTCTCTGTAGCTCTGACACGAAGCTGCTTGTTCGCTTTGTCACAGAAATACTCCACTGTCTACATCACAGGGACACTGAAACGGCTGCTCAACCACTTCTGACGCTGATTCCAACGCATTCATTATGATTTAGCCTACCTGTAGTATTATGGTCTCTCTCACCTTGTTGGAAAAAGCTTTACACATGTTGCACTTTCCCCTCGATCAAACTCCAGCTTCAGTTGACCGTTATTTTATCTATAATGGATGGCTGCTTGACAATCATTGTCACAGACAACGGCAATGCAACCGATGAATTAAACTGTGTCACGTCCGATGCGTCCTCAATGTATGCTAACTCTCTAGCTTCTACAGATGAATGGAGGATAAATGCAGATGTTTGCCTTGAAGTTATTCATACAGCCATACCCTTCAGGGAGTGCAACAATCCAGGCTTTTATGTCTCCAGCTGTCTTGACATCCGCACATTCCTGCTCATTTTTGGATGCCTCAGCTCTTCCATCCATGCTCTAAATTCTTGTGTGGTTTGCCCTCTTCATTCTTGTGTTCGGCTGTTTCTTTGCTTCCTGATGAGCGAGTGTGAGAGTGTGGGGGGAGGAAAGAAGATGGAGAAGATGTGGCTCGTTGTTGAAACGCTGTTCGAGGCTTTGTGGCACTGCGCACTCCCCATTACCGCGTCATGCTGTCTCTGCCGCGCTAGCGTGGGAGGGAGGGAGGGCGGGGGGTACTGGCTTGGAGATGACCCATTTGTATTCACGCCCCCTCTCCATTTGATGCATTGAAGGTTATCTCAATCTGCTAAACTGCCAGAACCGAAGAGGTGTTGCCACATTTGTAAGATCACCCACTGATGATATTTCAGTTAATTTGAATTGGTCCCAGTTTATCTGCCTTGCTTGTCAGTTTGTTGGTTCAATAGTGCATGGAGCCTGTGGTTAGAGTAATACGTCAATATGAAACTGCACCGATATGGCAACAACCAGTAGACCTGTTTAATGTTGGCATTGATGGATTTTTTCATTTCATTAGCATAATTCTTCAAAAGAACCTCATAAGACTCTTGAGCATTTGTGCTGAATCCAAACAGATCCTGAGGATAGTATGGGTACGTTTTCAATCAAATCAATCAATCAAATTTTATTTATAAAGCGCTTTTCATACAAAAGATGCAACACAAAGTGCTTTACAGTTTGGTTAAAAACAATCCCGCCGACCCAAGACCCCTCCCCCAGACCACCCAACAGACCCACCCCAAACCACAGACAAACACACACACACACACACACGCGCTCATGAACACTCACACACACACACACCAGTAAAACAATAAAACCATGATGAGAGACTTGGCAGGGTTTTGTTGTGTAAAGCATTTACACTTTAATTTGAATGAAGTAGCCAAGTCATCCAATGTCTGTCAGGCCTGTGGTTCCCAAAGTGCAGATTGTGAGATGCTTTTTTTTTTTTTTTTTTTTTGTACATTATATATTTATTTATTTTAATCTGGAATGCATTATTTACCATGTTTTGTATACATCAATGGGGTTGCAATACGGTTACAGGGGTCCAGGCCTGAAAAAGTTTGGGGACATACAATTGGAAATTATATAATAATCTGAGACTGAAACTAAAATGGTATTGTGAAGAAAAAAAAAATAGTCAGACAAATGAATATTTAATTATCTACATTCATGGTGTTTATGTGCTGTGCACATCTGCAGCCAAACTGTTTTAATGTGTTAAAAACTGTTGGTTTTTACAATTAGGAAGGAGCCTCGGCACGGAAAGCCCAGACACCAGCCTTGCAGCCTGTCCCTCGCCCAGGTTGGTTCATAAACATAAAGCTGATCATTAAAATACAAGTACCACCACATCCCAAATGTATTACAAATCGCTTTGTGCAGCATTTGTTTTTACTCTCAACCTCAAAAAGTATGAAATGTGAAGCTGTTTTTCACATTTTGTCACAAGTTGTAAAGGGACTTTTTGAGTGATACACTTTTCCTCCTGACATGTGAATCTTTCTCACCAGAGATTTGGCTGGATATTTATGACATCAAAGCCCTTGTTTGATTGACTTATATTTAAGTATTTGTTTTATGTTACAGTGTCACAAGCCCGACCACCTCCAAACCAGAAGAAAGGTACTGGCCCTAATGTATTTAATGTATCTGCAGAGTTTCAAAGTTACATTTTTGTAATCTATTGTTTTTTCTAAGGCTCTCGTACACCTATTATCATTATCCCTGCAGCTACCACATCTCTTGTTACTATGCTGAATGCTAAAGACCTTCTGCAGGATCTGAAGTAAGTTGTTTTATTTCTATGTTTTATTTATTTATATTATTATCTATATTCTTTATATAATATGAATGAATAGTCAGATAATTGCTATTTTTTCCTATGTTTGAGTGGATAAGTGACTATTATAAATAGTATAAAAAAGTATCCCTTCAATTGTTGCCGTGAACTTAAAAACTACATTGATATCCCAGATTTGTGACATCAGACGAAAAGAAAAAGCAGGGAATTCCTCGAGACAATGAGGTTCTGCTGCAGAGACGCAAAGACCAGATCCAGCCCGGGGGCGCGACCCTCAGTGTCACTGTCCCGTACAGAGTCATCGATCAGCCGCTAAAACTGGCCCCGCAGGATTGGTCAGTCCCATTAGACTTTTGTGATAGCAAACGCTTAAAGAATTGACATTTATTGCAGTGGAATTGTAGTGGTGTAAAGGAGTGTGTTTTTACAGGGACCGAGTTGTAGCGGTGTTTGTGCAGGGACCTGCCTGGCAGTTCAAGGGCTGGCCCTGGCTGCTGCCGGATGGATCTCCTGTTGACATATTTGCCAAAAGTAAAACACTTTAGTCAACTTAAAAACATAATTAAATTAGTTCAGTAAATAATACTTTTTTTCTTTAGTTCGGGCTTTCCACTTAAAATATGACGAGGCCAAAATAGACCCAAATGTGCAAAAGTGGGATGTGACTGTGCTGGAGCTGAGCCGCCATAGGCGCCATTTGGACCGGCCAGTCTTCCTGCGCTTTTGGGAAACTCTGGACAGGTAATACTGTTGTCTGAACCTTAAGAAATATATTAACAATGTATTAAAGATTACTTGCTTAGAAAGACAGATAATAATCCAGTAATTGTTTTGTTTCTTTTTAGATACATGGTGAAACACAAAGCCCATCTCAGGTTCTGAGCCCGAGCCGACAGCAGCCCGAGTGGACGGACTTTTCCAACGTGATTCTGTTGTGAATAAGAAGCACAGGGACCATTTATTTCTCAACTGCAAATGCACTGTGCAAGATTTGGACAAACTGTTTCATATGCTTTCATGTAATTAAACCTAAACCCACCAACATATTTTATATTATACATGCTAAAGGAGCAAGTGTGAGCTCTGTGGTCATGAGAAACATCTTTTCATCCGTTCAGTCCAATGTTATGGTCAAAGCACCATGCCGTAAACCATCCCCACAGCTCTGGGCTATGGACTGCTCATTTAAGTTACTTTTTAAGTGGCGAATTCAGGGGAATGAGAGCTGTTTCAGATAAGTTTAGACTGTAAAACTATGATCATTGTTCATAGATATTTCTTGTTGAGCTTGGAAAATATTGGTGCAAAGTACCACTTTTCATAAAAAATAAATCCTCCAATAATTGTCTAATTTTTGACTTATGGAAGTAGCAGACCCACAAATTGGTGCACTAATTTTATGGTAATAAATGTTAGGCATTTAATCTGTCTCGGTTTATTTAAAATAACGACTTGTGATCTAAACACCTCTTTAAAGAGGGATGGAGGTGCCACTTACACGTCCTTATCCTGGCTCTAGTAATCACTGACTTTGTAAATTGATTATGCATATGACGTGTGTGTGCCTCCTGTGAATAACGTGGGAACTTTCATGTGTCTCCATCGAAATAACCAGAAGATGTGAGTGTTGCATGCACACCAACATTCTACAGCTAACATGAAGCTACCTTTGTTACACTATGTGGATCAATTCTGAGCCCTGTTGGTCAAACTTTATTAAGTAAGTTAAGTTATTTTAAAAGGATCGGTGTACATTTTTGGGTTTTTTTTATTTTATTTTTCTAAGGCAATGGTGAAAAAGAAATCATGGGTCTCATTGACTTTATGGACCAAGATGCAAAATCAGAATTGTAGGGGGAAAAAAAAGTAATATTTTGAACAAACCTTTTTTGCTTCCCATATACAACTGTGGCTAACATTGTAGGGGCACTAATTTTGCAATTACATTAAATCCACTTTTTTTTACTGATAAACGGTATAAATGAGTGTCCAATAGTGTTGTCTACATATCCTGGTCATAATCTTGTCACTTTGGTGCAAATTAGTTGAAAGTTAAACTTTCTGCCAAAAACCGTCTGTGAGGCGCCATCTGCTGGCGACCTGTATTACTACATTTGAATTTTGAATCTGGCGCCAACACTGGCACAGAAGTTGGACCTGACGTCTGCAAGTTGGACCTGACGTCACAGCCCCCCGCCCAGAGCAATATAAACGGCCCAGTCTCGTTCACGCCCCCTTTAGTCCTCCAGGCTACGCCCATTTAGAGGAAGATTTGAACAGGAAATGTGAGTAACGTAAGCTCCGAGGAGCGGGGGTGAGAACCACTTTAAAGCTGCATTACCTGACTTTATTTTTGTATTCATTACGAAAATTCAATCCATATCCATGCAGTGCATTGGGATATACGTCCTTTTGAAGAAAAAGTAGTGCAGATTTGTGCTGGCGTATCATTTTATTTTAGATCAAGTTTTTGTGAAACAAGGAAGAGAATGTGTTTCGGGACCAGATTGTGACCAATCACAGCGGACCACTGGCCCCCTCTTTCTTGAGAAAAGCTACAGGTCTCTTGTTAGCACAGACATCTGAGGTAAACAAGCAGCAGAGGCTAACCTGAAGCTTCCCGTGTCTTCGTTATCGTTTACTGCTTACACAGGGAAATAGCCATCCAAAAGAAAGTCTTGTTCCTCCCCGCTTCCCGGTTCAATCATTCTATGGTCACACCATCCACGTTCAAATGTGCGATCCATATTGTGAGACGTGAGCTCCGTATACAAATAGCATGTGAGCACAGGCTGAGGGGGAGGCGGGTAGTGGGGGCGAGCACTCACATTCGAAAATTTCTCAAAGTCAGTTTGTGCAGTTTTAATTCATCACCATATCCCCTAATGTATTCCTAATCTCTTATTTAATAACCTAACATTCCCTTACCCTTAATTGTGTAATAATAGGCTCTATGCACGCACCACTTCCGGGTTTTAGCTACAACCTCACCTCACTTCCTGTTCCCAAGAAACGGCTTGAGTTTCACTGGAGTTCAGCAGTGGTTTACACGAGTTTCCCAAATAATGCTCAAACGGGAATTAAACCGTGAGGATACTGGGCATTTTTGGGACACAACAGTGCTCTTTGATTGTGCTGTCATTGTGTTTTTATAAAGTTTAAAAATCGCTCTGAATGACCACAGTCAAAGCTCTGCCTGTGAGAGAAAGCACAGCATCACTTTTGGGTCAGTCTCACAGCTGAATGTATCAATCTAATTACTAAAAAACATCACTAAAACTCACCTAAATGCCATAGAATAGCATAGGCAGGAAGTGAACGGGCTGTTCTGGGTTAACAGGAAATGACGTCACGCCTCCCCGTGCATATACATAGTTCCCACATGACGTCACTACATACGGGGATTTGCCGACCCGGCGCCATTTGTCTTGGCATTCTGTGGGCAAAACAATAGAAAAAGAAGCTGAAACGTGTTAATGTCGTGATAAAGTTGAAAATGGTCATCTCCTGCTGGGTCAATGGATGTTCTAATCGTGCCGGAGGTTCCGTTAAACTTGGATTTTACAGTATACCCATCATTAGACTTCATGAATGTGAGAAGACTAAGCTTTTGTCAGAACAACCACGGAGGTTATGGCTTGCGAAGATAAACAGGCAAGAAACTCCCTCAAAACACGCAAGAATATGCTCGGAGCACTTTGTGTCAGGTGCGTATCGTATCTCATAATGTGTTGACAGACGTAATTTACTCAGTACTAACTTGTGTATGCTGATAGCTGGTAACTTGAGAGTTTCATTATTTAGCGTTAGATTACTTTATTATGAGGAGGATCGGTGTCGCGTCCGAGGCTCTCGAGGGCAACGTAAATGTATTAAATAGATAATAATAGTTCTATGGTGGGCTAAAACAATGTTCACAAACAGCATTGCTTCTGTAAAAAGATCTGTGTCATAAAATAAACTGCTCTTTACGCCTGGAAAAATCAGTTGCCCACCATTCACCAAAACATACGGTCAAAAACGCGGAAATAAACAATAACAGCAATCCAGAGTGTCCGTGTGGCATTAGCATTAATTAAATTAATTGTTAATATAATTAAAATAATTAAATGGAGCTCCAACTGGTATTACATCTAAAGTTTTTGAGAAATGTTTGCATTGCTTGTTAATTTTTGCTGCATAATTTGATCAAATATGTAAAACATGTCCGTAGCACGTTAAACTGTGGTGCCATTGTATTAATATACAATTATTTGCTCAAAAGTTGCCCTTTTTTTCCAATTTGCGTTTGAATATCTACATTTATTCTCATTCTTCTGTTTAATGGAATGCACAAACACAGCAGCGTGCCATCAAAGATGGCGTCTCCGAGGAGGTCATGTGACATTCATTGGTCTGTGGGAACTATGTATAGCCCATTATCATAAATATAAAAAAATAAAATTCAGCTCTGTGGTCAGCCTCTTTCCGTCTCCAAAGAGACAAAGTATCTGGGACACTTTCTCACAGATGACTGGCGTGATGACAGAGACATTAAAAGACAGTGCTGTAAACTTTATGCCCAGGCGAACACACTGATGAGGAGGTTCAGCATGTGTTCTTATCCTGTTAATTGTACTCTGTTTCGAGCGTACTGCACTCCGCTGTACACAGCTCCTCTGTGGACCAAGTACAGTCGCAGGTCCTTCCACAGACTCACAGTGGCATACAATGATGCCTTCAGGCTGCTGCTCTGGGTGCCCAGGTGGCACAGTGCCAGTGACAGCAGCGCCGAGATCCCTGAGTGGTAAATGGCTAACCAATGATTTGGCCACCACAAGGGGGCGCCTCGAAGTGGCCAAATCTGTGGCTAACGCACCTTTTGCCACAGTTTTGACGCACTTTTTGCCATTTTGGAGACGCACTTTTGAGAGCGGACAAAGAAGTGGCCAAAATATGGTTTGAGTTGATAATTATAATAAAAATATTCACAATGTATATACTTTTTTATTTTTTTATTTTTATTTTTTCATTCATTCCAACACAGATACAATACAAAACTCAAAACAAACAGGTAGATGACGGTACAAGACATACAAGAATACATATAATACAGACAGGGATAGTGAACAATGTTTTGTGTTGATGTGTTTGTATGTGCATGCATGTGCGTGATGTGCGAGTGATTGTGTGTGTGTGTTTACAAAATATTTCTTTTTTTAAATAATGCGATTAATAGTAATGATAATAATAATAACACTAATAGCTTTACACAAGGTATATACTTGTAGATTATTAAGAGCAAATAGTCATTATCCATTCATAAATTGTCACACAGAAAGAGCAACTATTGCTTCTTGTGTAGTAAAAGTCAATATCGATGGCTGGTAAATGTTAAATTACTGTTTTGGCCACCACAAGGGGCCGCCTCGAAGTGGCCAAAACTGTGGCTAACGCATCTTTTGCCACTTTTGAGACGCATCTTTTGCCACATATGACGCGCTCCTTTGGCCACTTTTGAGACGCACCTTTTGCCATTTATTGCTGATTATCTTGATAATTAAGTTTACATTCGTGTTTTGGCAATCCAATAGACTTGAATACTTTCTCATGAATCATGGCATGATTTGTTCAAAGCACCCCCTGCAGAATGCTCACCTCTTGGACCAGCGGCGGCGCCAGACATTTGTCATAGGGGGTGCTTAGGGGGTGCTGACGTCTTGCCTGGGGGTGCTCAACATAACATGTTATGTGCGCAGTCAGTTGTATTGGGCAACATAATCCAATAATAACGTATATACGCGTGTATTCCACCGCAAGCGCATGGGAAAATATCCTACAGAGTGGATTGCAAAAGCGTCAGCAGCCGCCAGCCGGTGGAACTGTTGCGCGCGGTGGAGGACAGGAGGATGCGCTCCGTCCGGATCCGCGTTTGTTTACCATGAGGCACATCGCACAGAAGAGCCACCGCGGAGTTGTTTTTATGTGACCCGCGTGGGAAGGACATGTGTGTTCCAGTGTGCCATAACAGCATGTCATCTTTACGAATGTCCCCTTTTAAACACACCCTGGCTGCATGCAAGAGTTGCATCAAGCATAATAATATAATCAAAATAATCTCTATTTGTTGATTAATAAATCGAACGATGATGAACAAAAAAATCTTGTAATTTTTATTATTTGTGCCGAGGGAAACACACTTTACCAAAATAAACACATAGGCCTAACAAAAACAGTCCCCTATAAGCTAACAAGTACAACTTCGAAAAACTGTCCATTTAATGAGGGATATAAAGCCTGTATTTTTGTATTCCTTTCAAGGCTGTGCCCATAGCCTACTATTTGGATGTTTCTTGTAGGCGCATTCTTTCCCTCGAGACTGCCAGACAAAGCAAACATTCAAATCAACGCCTTTATCAAAATAACTAGACTTAGTGTCACGATTTGGTCCTACACCACCAAAAATACTTCCACTCTTAGGAAATGATGCAACCAGATAAAAGTTAACAGTGTTTTAATGTGTTTCATTCAACGTTAAAAGCAACGTATTTTAAAAGAGTCAATGGAGTCTAAAAATAGGTCTAAGCCTGTTTCTCCAGTAAAAGTATGTACAATATATACAAGGAGCGCCTAAACTACTTTGGGGAGGGGAGTAAGGGGGATAACACGACGTCCAGAGGAAAGGGTTGAGCAGTCCAGTCTGTGAGGGCCCGTCCACAATCACGCCCCTCTAAAATGGCCTGTGGACAAGGGAGATTCTCAATGCCAGCCAGGTACGACAAAACACACAGGGCACAGGAGTAGCAGAGTAAGTGGGGAAGCGTCCCTTTTACTTATCTGGCGTGCGCAGTCTAGCCACCCCGGGCTGGTCTGGTCCGCTGCTGATCCAGGCCGAGCTGGCTCCGCGTACCAGTCTGCCCGCACTCCCAGAGCGCGCGTCTGCCTACGTCTGTCCGAGCCTCGGTCACACTGGTTGGGGGGACAGGGGAAATCACACTTAAAAACACCACACTGCACACACACTGCAAATTCCCCAACGACAGTGAGAGGCTGCAGACGTCCCTTTACTTAGCTTGGTGCTGGCCTTTTCTCCACACTCCTGGTGGGCTCCGATAGTGCGCGCGCGCAGATTGGATGTGCGTCTCGAACCCTGGCGTCCTGTAAATCCCTGGGCCGCTCCTGCTGCACCGCGTCCGTCCGCCACAGAAGACTCGCGACCCGTCTCGTCTGTTCTGCGCTGATCCTGGTGCCGCTCCGGGCTGGTACCGGGGCTGGTACAGGGGCTGCTCCTGGGGCCGCTCCTCGAGTGTCCTGCGTGTCCCTTCTGCGTGTCCCTGCTGTCGAGTCTCGTCTCAAGCTCTGCTTCAGTTTCCGCGTCCCTTGAGGGCCGGCTCTGGGCGGTTTATATAGTTCATCCTATAGATCTGCGTCCAATAGTATGCCGCTATAGGTCTATTGGGGGGGGGGTGTGGTTACAGTCTGCGGTGCTCCACTCGCTAAAGTCATTCTGTAGCCCCTGCAAACTACACACAAGGTATACGGTGGCTATAGGCAAATGGTTAATGTGCATAGAGTTTTCAGCCCATACCTCGCCATTTGACATTAGCATATACCATTCAAAACATTTATACTTACAATTTATACGTCTTCATAACAGCACAATACGTCTGTTGTTGTGATTGACAGCGAAGGCGTTAATTATCCTATCACTGTCCATGGCCCTCGCTCTAGCAGAGTTAATGGCCAATAGTCCCAGGTTACTGGTCCGTGTGTCCCCGCTGCTGTTTCTTAAATAATTTTTCAGTCTGCGCAGGCACGAGAAACTTCTCTCACAGCTCACTGATGTAACAGGAAGGGTCAAGGATATGCTGATCAGTTTGAACAAATCCATAAAGGCCTCTTTGTACGGGCGCAAAAGGTGCAGAAAATCCTGTGGGCTTTTTACAGCATGTCCCTGTTGCTTTTTCCTTTCTAGAAGCCGACGGACTTGATGTAGTTCCGCAGACAGGTTTTCCTCTCGCACTCCATAATGCTGGGCCATGGGCAGAAGTAGTTGCTTGTCCAGAAAACCTGTATGTTTTGGGGAGAGCGCCTGTACACCTTTCATCACGTTGTTTGTTTCTGTAGAAAAACGCCGCTTCATCTCCACTCTCAGTTTGTCTAACACAGGAAAGAATGACGCTACTTTAAGCACATCCATGTCATTGGTACGCGCCCTTTCTATAGGAGCCTCAACAACAAATCCCTCCAGATGTCTTGTTTGAACTTGGCGTTTCTCCTTTTGGGTCTGTCTTATTCCACTGTCGACACACATGCTCTCTGCTTTCTGTCTTAACCTTTCCCATGTCTGGTCAGTGCGTTTTTCTGAAAGCGCAGTGATAACTGATTGAGCCAAGTCATCTGCTGCTACAAGATCAAAATTGGGAGCCTGTAGCTGATCTGACATAAACTTAGTTGTTCTGAGTACATCTTCAAAAAGAACAAGATGCAAGATAAACGACTCATCAATGAGGGAGCTAATAGCTCTCGCCTCTGCCCTCCTATGCGCATTGGATCCTTCCAGGATGCTGCGCAGTGTGGCTTGTAGGGCAGGAATGGTGCTCTTGAGTGCGGCAACTGCATTGTATTGGCATGCCCATCTTGTGTCGCTCAGCCGTTTTAATTCAACGCATTGAGATGGATTAAGTTCTTTTTGTTTCTTCAAAAAAATGTCATGAACAACAGATCCCGAAAAAAACCTGTAGAGCATCCCTACTGTTTCAAAAAACTCAGTAGCTGGTTTCACGTTGCGCACACAGTCTACCAACACTAGATTCAGTCTATGAGCGTAACAGTGTATGTAAATAGCTTGCGGGACGTCTTTTCTGAATTTCTCCTGAACTCCATTGTTTGACCCCGACATAACAGAAGCTCCGTCGTAACACTGCCCAACACAGTGATTGGCATCTATTTTACATTGGCTCAGAGTGCGTTTGATGGATAAGAGTAACGACTCCGCGTCAAGGCCTTCTGCAGGGGTGAAATGCAGAAATTCTTCACGCACATCTCCCGACTGTGGATGCAGATAACGGACAATAACTGAGATTTGTTCTTTTTTGCTGACGTCCTTGCTTTCATCAACAAGAAGCGCAAAGTGCTCTGCCTCTCTCACTTCATCACTGATTTCGCTTCTTATTATATCAGCCATAACGGATATTATTTCATCCTGGATATCATGGTGAGTGTACTTTGCATTCCCACTTATGTTTGAAAGTTTCTTGGCCACTGTTTTGTCAAATTTAGCAATGATATGTAAGAGCTCCAAAAAATTCCCTTTGTTTGCGGACTCCTCATCTTCTCTGTGGCCTCGCTGCGCTATGCCCTGACAGGCCGTATAGCGAAGGCTCTCAACTACAGCTCCAATGTATTGTCTGTTTTCTTGTACTAACTGCGAGTGTCCTTTGTCTAACAAATTGGCCATTTTTGATCCTCTGGTCCCCTTTAGTTTAAATTCACCCCAATGGTCCATTGCAAATTTGTGACCAGCACTTTCGTTGTGACCCCTCAGAGTTTGTGTTGCCTTTCGCCAATTACAAAATCCATTTGTTGTAAAAGTTGCCTCCAGATGATGAAACCCAGGTCCCCCACGTTTTAAAAAATGACGGCATGCAAAACACCAAACTGAGTCTTTGGTAACGCTGTACTCGAGCCATGAATATAGATCAAACCAGCCTTTATTAAAACTGCGCTGCTGCGCTCCATATTGTCTTGTGGGGTATTTCTGTAGGAGTGGTTGGCTGGGACCATTTTGTGGATGTGCGCTGATATCAGTACAAGACTGAGACTCCTGACCAGCAGTACCCGAAACCACATTAGAACCTGCAGCTTCATTAGCATCGGTCGCCTCATTAGCTTCGGCCCGCGGTGGCACTCTTTTACCTTCCTCCTCCTCCTCCTCCGAGTTCGAAGAGATTTCCTCACAGGTGTTTGGCATAGATTTTGAGTTTGTACAAACGGCATTCCCCGACTCATTTTCCGTAGACTCCACTCGGGGTCGTTTAGGGACCAAAAAACGCTCCATTTTGCTCACATTTATTTACTTGGGCCACTATAGCATTCGGACAGTAAGGACATTAGGACAAACAACACTTCAGGCGCGGGAAATTGCTCTGCGCGAATGTGAGCTTTTTGGATTTTATTTTATTTACAGCCTAACTTAATATTGTCTCATAATGATTGATAAAATCGATGGTAAATGTCATGACTATAATGAACATGGAGTCACGCTCAGTCCGACATGGAGCGTCGCTGACCATGCGTTCTGATGCACGGCCGTATTAACGTAAAAATGGGTCTTAGCCTGGGCGGCCCAGGCACTCTCCTTTAGTTAAAATTATTATTTGTCCCACATACTCCTTTTCACATGAAACAGCCTATAATGCACTATGAATGTCTGTAGAGATAACTAGTTCTCCTATGATTAAGAGGCATAAATCTTTGGGGGTGCTTTGGGGGTGCTTTGACAATCTCAGGGGGTGCTCAAGCCCCCCCTAGCCCCCCCCTGGCGCCGCCCCTGTCTTGGACATTCCAGGTGTGTTTGTCTTTTCCCATCCTGAGAAGGTGTGAAAGTCACCTTTTGACATGTGTGTGAGGCCTTTGGAGATAAGCCTCTGGATCTACAAAGGCTCACACTTTGTGCAGCTTCCCCCCATAGCTGTCTATTAATATGTCATTCTGTAGTCCGATCCCACTTCTCCCCATTCGTATTGTCATAGAATATTATGGATGACTTCACATATTTTTCTACCTCTGGAATGAAGATTAAATACAATTTAATGTTTTAGAGTACCACCTCTCCCGGATTGACAAGCTGATCCATAGAGCTGGACAGGTGATTTACAAGACATGTACAACAGTGTGAGACAGAAGGACACTGGAAAAACTGCATCATGGACAATCCAACACATCCACTCCACCGGAGTATCTAGGGGCACAGGAGCTCCTTCTCCAACAGACTCCTACAGCTCCGCTGCCACAGTGAACAAGAGCGTGTTCATGTCACACTCCATCCTGCTATTTAAAAAGTCACCGCTCTGTGACAGATAACACATTCATCTAAACAGACTTCAAATGTATTGAAGAAGATGGCATAGTCTGGGATCGCGTCTTTAATTCAGACAGAAGACATGTTTTATTGTCAATGGTAGAGACAGCACGAACAAAGCACACGATCACAGATACAACAGAATGCAAGTGTATTATACAGAGCGGAGGCATGGAGACCTCCAATCAGCAGCTGCCACGGTGCCATGTAGCTTGGCCTTCAGATAGACAAAACAAGGGAAAAGTACTGGCTTCTGCACATTGATAGAATGATGAGTTTAACTTTAACAAAAGTTGCTTCAAAGTGTTATGAAATCTCACAGTATCTGCTTTGTCTGTGTATATCTTGTATATGAACAGATGTGTAGTATTATTTTTTTTCTGTATTTTATATTGTAAATGTAACCAAACCAGTTTCCCTTGTGGATCAATAAAGTCTGTCTAAGTCTGAAGGCTGTAAACTAAGTGTATTTTTAGAATGTAGGAATTGTATCGACTTTTATAGTAATAAAACCCAAACAGGGACAGGAGTTGTGAATTAGCATCTGCTATAAGCTCTATTCATCACATTAGCTGCAAGCTTTGTTTAATATGTATGTACAGAACATGGACCAAGGCCACGTGGGGCGGGACTCGGGCTGCAGAACGAGGACTGAGGCAGCTCCCAGGCAGGGAGGGGGTGCAGCCCACGAGTCGGGCCGGGGAGGACAATCCACAGGTGCAAATGATCTCGTCGTCACACCATGAAACAGACAAAGGGACATAACATTTCAGTACATTACAGTACATTACAATAATAACATACGTGTCCTATTCCGCAGGCGTCTCAGATTCGTGGCGTATAGTGAGCTGGTGCTGGGGACCGCTGGGAGCCAGAATCAGGGGATCATGTCTGCATGTGATGTGCTCAGGAGTTCCCAGATCCTGAGTTCCCAGATCCTGAAGGCCAGTGTGTTGGATTTCTATCCTGGTCAGCCTCTGTAATAATATATTATTAAATTATTGTAATGTAAAATATTTGTACAGTGTTATTTTTTTACCAAGTGTTGGCTTTGCTGTTGGCTTTCCTTTGATGTACTTTGCGTTGGAAACTTTAAAGACTGCCCTTTTGAAGAATCTTGCCCACGTTTGACTTTTATTTTATTTTTTTTATTCATTCCGAGCAAGTAAGCGGGCATAGAAATAATTAGTTCAAGCAACTTAGGTACATGTACAAAATATAACAAAGGAGTAATAACAAAAAGAGTGATTGATACTAACATAACACTTATGGATGCTCGAAAAGGAGTGGGAAGAAGTGAACACTTATTTAATCCCACCCCTAATTACTTCAGTCATTACAAGGGTAAAGTAAAGTAAAGGCTCCGGTTTTAGCTCCAACGTAAATTTTGCACAGATATCAAAATCTTAAACATATTGTTCATAAGCAAAATGAGTTATTGAAAAATGTCATCAGGGACAAATGTAAAAAAAAAAAATAATAATAATAATTAAAAAAACTACATGCAAAAACAATTTAAAAAAGAAATACCAACAATGGTAATGAACAGCAAATACCAGCAATGGTAAGGAAACATACTCCAAAATGTATTAACAAGAACAAGTACATGCCAACATGAGTCGAGGGAAAAGAAGAGAAATACATTCAAGTATACAAGTATACTGTACAAAGACTTCTTGCGAAAGAAGACTAAAGAGGCTGAATGTACTTACAAACAATATAAGAACAGATTAACTAGTATTATAAGATCAAGTAAAATTAACTATTATGGTGCTCTTTTGGAGAAGAATAAAAGTAACATAAAAAATACTTGGAGTGTTTTAAACAAAATAATCAAAAAGGGAAATCAAAATGCTGACATTCCAACTGAATTTCTAATAAACGATAGAACTTTGATCAATCAACCCGATGAAATCGCAAACCAGTTTAATCAATATTTCACTAATATTGGCCCTAAATTAGCTAAAGAAATAGTCAACACTAATCAAGTTGATGCTTTAAGCAAAATACCAACCACTAATAAAACTATATTTATTCAACCCACTGATGAAAATGAAATAATTTCAGTTGTCAAAAACTGCAAGACTAAGATGTCAGCTGACTGGAATGGACTAGACATGTCAGTATTAAAAGACACTATTGAATGTGTTGTAAAACCAATCGCTTACATTTTTAATCTTTCTTTACAATCGGGGGTTTTTCCAGAAGGAATGAAGACTGCGAAAGTGATTCCTATTCACAAGGCTGGTGATAAACAGAAATTCACTAATTATAGACCTATTTCCATTCTGTCACAGTTTTCCAAGATCCTGGAGAAGATCTTCCATAAAAGATTATTCAGTTATGTAGATAAGCAAAATATTATTTGTGAACAGCAGTATGGTTTTAGACCCGATAGGACCACTACCTTAGCATTAGTGGACCTTGTAGAAAAAATATCAAATGCTATAGCCGATAAACAATATGCTGTTGGTGTGTTCCTAGACCTAACCAAAGCTTTTGATACAGTGAATCATGAATTGCTACTTCAAAAACTGTACAGATATGGGATTAGAGGAGTGGCTTTTTCTTGGCTCCAGACTTATTTGAAGAACAGATCCCAGTATGTCCACACCAATGGCACTGATTCCCAGCTGCTGACAGTTTCCTGCGGGCTGCCACAGGGGTCAGTGTTGGGTCCGTTTTTGTTTCTTATGTATATTAACGATCTGTGTTTCGTTTCAAAAACATTAAACCTTATTTTATTCGCTGATGACACCAACATGCTTAGTTGTGGTAAGAATTTAGAAGCATTGATAGATATAGTAGAGAAAGAATTATTATTGTTAAAGAAGTGGTTTGATTCTAATAAGTTAACCCTTAATTTAAATAAAACCAAATTTATAGTTTTTGGAATCCGTGCCATTAATGTGTGTAGAAATTTAAGAATAAATGATACTGAGATAGAGCGAGTGAATGAAATAAAATTTCTTGGAGTACTTTTACAAAATAAGCTTAGCTGGAAGCCCCATATAAACTACATCAAGGCAAAGCTATGTAAATCTCTTGCAATAATATCTAAAGTTAAAGAACTCTTAAATGAAAACAACTTGTATATGTTATACTGTTCCCTGGTTCTCCCGTACATGACCTATGGCCTAGAAGTTTGGGGAAACACTTACAAAACCAATCTTAATCCAATAAGTATCATCCAAAAAGAGCGATCCGCATTGTGAATAAAGTGGCTTACAGGGCACATACAAATGAGCTTTTCATCAAACTAAAAGCACTAAAATTGAAGGATTTGGTTGAGTTTAAAACAGCACAATTTATGTATAACATAAGCTATAACAAGTTATCTGTGCATATCCAGGGATTGTTCCAAAAACGAGACTGCGTTTACAATTTCCGAAAGGAAGAAATGTTTCAAAAAACATATGTGAGAACGAGTGCAAAGCAGCATTGTCTTTCTTTTGTTGGGATTAATGTGTGGAGTGAGTTGGACCAAGAACTATAAGACTGTAAAACCTTAATTCAATTTAAAATTCTTTTGAAGAAATCAATTATAAAAAAATACATTGAGAATGGACGCTAAGGATGCAAACTTAAGATGATAGATTGTTTTTCTTTCTTCTTTGTGACAATCTAAAAACAAAAATTTTATAACTACTTGCATAAGACATTGGCAGCTTTACTGTTTATGTTTTGTAAATACTCTGGCTACTTTACTTACTTTAGCTTCTTTAGCTTCTGCCTATTCCATTTCAGACTTTATGTTTATTTATCATCTGTTTGGCATCTGTTGAATGTTTGAATGTCTGAATAAAAAATAATCTGAAATCTGAAATCTAATCTGAAGTCATAATCTCTCTGTATTCGGACCAGACATTGTTTTTATATAATGTCTTAAA